TTTGGTTCGGCGCTCCATTCTGCTTTACTTCGCCAGAACACGAATTTGCGCATATTTGCTTTATATACAAACACTCGAACACACACACACCCATGCACCCATACACCTATACACACACACACACAGAGAGAAAGGAGCCAAGGCAACGCTCACATGCGCACACTTCAATCTTTTATCATAATTTCGATGCTGCACGCCTCATAAATTTGTTTGCTGAAAACATTTTCACTTCATTTATTAGAAAAAACAGACATCCCACCCACCATTGAAGCACCCACTCCTTTAATGCCATTGGGGAAATGCATTTCCACCAACTGCTAACCATTTTGGGTTTTTTTTATTTTCTCGCCCCACACCCCAAAGCCATTTGCATATGAAATTGCAGCTGACTGTTTTCCATCTTGGTCAATTATTTGGGCAAGGCAGCCAGAGTTCGGCCTTTTATGCGTTAATTGCTTGAAAATTGAAACATGAAATTAAATGAAAACAGCCTTCGACGCTCCAGTGTCCTCGGCATATAACTCATACGCCGCGTGTGCCACAAAATGGCAGGCAGACAGATAGATGGACAGACCGCCTACAGACCGCCGCGCGACCGCTGTCCGCCACATGCAGGTAATTAATAAAAGTTCAGCCCTTGCCTTGCCCAGCCCCCAACCACATTAAGTGTCCAAGTGCACTGGAAAAATTGTTTCTTGAACGTAAAGTGTTCGACATGAATAGTAAGAGAAATTACAGAGGTTTCGCATATGTGAGAATCTAAATACAATAAAACTAATAAATATACCTATATAATATTATAAATATAAGCCAAGACTTATGGTCTGTGTATGAGTGCGGCAGAACTTATTGCTTTCGGTGTACGAGAGTGTGAGCGACAATCAAGAGACATTTCTCAACGAGTCCTGGCAAGGAGGAGCCAGGAAAACGTTCGGGAATTATAAAATGCCAGTTGGACCAGGATGCGACGTTGGGCCGCTTGACAAGTGACAAATAAATGCGCTTTCAATGTGTTGGTGGTCCGCCTCTCGCGTCCAGCCCTCCGTATCCTTTTCCCTCCTGTCCACCCCTTAACCACTCCATACGAGCCATGCTGACTGACAACTGCAGCGAAAACAGGAGCAAACGTAGCGGGCCTTCGCTGCTGCGTCTGTTAAATATTGCAATATTTTTGCCTGCCTCCTTTTCGAACGCTGGAAATTATGAAAAATTCACCCTGACATCGTGCCGCGTGTGTGGGCGTTCGTTTGCCCAGCTTTTGTATAATTTCGTGTGTTTTTATGCCGCAATATTGCTTGCATATTTTAATGAAACAGCCACATGACGGCTGCCGCGTACATTGCTGGCCAGGACACGACACACCACCCGCACCCCAAAATCGAGAATTCTTGAGAAGATGCCGCTGGCAGTCGTGACTGACAGCATTTACGCACCTGACTCCTGGTTCACCCACTCACAAACAACAGTCATAACATATTGACGTGTTTAACTGTGCGAATGGTGCCAGTGGTACTGGTCATATATATATAGCAGAGTTCATGGCAAATTAAATTCGTCCGCAATAAACAAGAAAGCTGTGCCCATTTAAAGGTCACCAAGCCTGCATTGACCCAAGCTATCGATCAATTGCAGAGGAACCATTTTGGTAAGACCAAGATTATAGTGTAGGTGTGAAAAACTTGGGATCACCAGACAGAGAAAAGAAACCAGGATCATTGCATTGCATTCGTGGCACATCCGATGACCGATGCTCGGTAGAAATTGTATCAAAGCAATTGGTTTCACGAATCCTCAACAGCAGCAGCGCACTTGTTCATGTGGCTCTAACTTTATTTATGAGTCAATGACGTCGCCTGCAACTTCCTGTGACGTGACAATTTCCCCGAGCACTTGGCACAAAGCGTCCTTGCGAGAACGAGAGGCGCCAAATGAAAACACGTGACGCCCGAGCAATTGGTGGGCAACAAAGCTCAAGCTTTGAGTTATGGCCAAACGCAATGGTGCACACAAACAATGGAGGCAAGCAGGAGGAGCTTGAGATCAACTCCCGAGCACCCGGACACACGGACACCGGAAGGCAGCCACTGGCCACGTTTGCATTTCAATTGACTTTCCGTGAGCTTCGCTCGCCACCACATCCACATCCACATCCACGTCCACGTCCTTGTCGTCTTCGTAGTCCTTCGCTCGCCGCAGCTCTGCATTTTGCACGATAAAATCATAAATCAGCGCTGAATCAGGTAAATAAAAATAATGCTCGAACTCTGTATGCAAATTGAACCGAGAGTCGGAGCAACGGAGACTTATTCGCTGAGATTTGACTGTGCAAAAATATGATAAAACTTGAGGCAGTCAAAAAACTTTGCAACTCTGGTCAAAAACTTGACTTTGCTTATGCGAATGAGGTGGCTGGGTGGTGGCTAAAAGGTTGAATAATATTGTTGAAGACAAGGCTACATTTTTTCTCAAAACTTTCCCATTTTCAGAAGGACTTCAACAGACGTAAATGGAACTGACTCAGCAATCAGACTATGTTAATTAGGCAGCGCACTAAAGGGCATTCTAAATGATTCAGAACGAGGGAAAACAAGCCAAATGGTCACATAAGTCGTAGCAGAACTTGGGTTCAATTAATTCGCGGGCAAGAAAATCAAAGAACCAATCAAAATCTAATTAACAAACCTTTATCAACTGAAGGCAGCCTTAGGATATATTTTAAAAGGTGTAGTTAACGTTGATTGACTGAGCTGGAATTGGCTAATGAAGAGCCTGGTTGGCCAAATAGTTCTAAAATTCCTGTCGACTAGTGCGATTGGCTATAGCTGCAAACACAACTGAGATAGACGCTTTATTACTTCAAAAATGCGGCATTTGGCTAATGCTCAAAGGAATCGATCGAGTCCATGCCGGCAATGATGGCGCATCGCTGGCCAATTATACGGCTTTGAGGGCATCATTTTGGGATTGGGCCGTTCCTCAGGCGTCGACTCGTTAAGTATCCGCAAAGCATGCAATCTCTGCCAGTTACTGGAATTCGGCTTTGTGGCAGACAAAACTGCATTGAAGTTGTTGTGCGGTTACTGCTCGACTGCCTGTGTTGCCTAGTTGCTTGGCTGCATGGATGCCATGGCAATTGGCCAATGCAGGCGTCGTCTTAAAGTAGGCCCAGTTTATTAATTAACGCAACCCGACCGACCACTATTCCGGCTTTGCATCCGGCAGCCCAGCAGAGACGCCTGACCACACTTGGTTTGATTCCAACCGGCTGGTAACTAGGAACTGGATATCCAGTGCACACGGGCATGCATATTGAAGTGCGATTGCCGGGCTCTGGGCATGCACCTACTGCATCAATTATGGGCATTCAAAACTGTTTGTAATGATTCTCCAAATGTTCAGCCGGCTAAAACAAAAGCCTGCCCAAGCCCATCACCAGGTGGCCCCATGGAAACCGTTTCGCAAAGCCCATTGGGAGTCCAATGCTTATCTTCACCGGACAGGTCAAGGGCTAATAGGTATCGATCCAGAGCCACCTGCCTGCATGGCCTAAGCTTTTTTTTTTTTTTAAGACTGATGTGGTTTCGAGCAAGCAGCCAGAAAGCTAATAGAATTTAAATACACAGCATGGATTGGAATATACAATTACAAGAAGCTTTGCTGCACTCTAAACACGAGCATTTATATTAAAAAATGTTTTTAGCTGAACTTGAAGCTTACCTTTCTTGGCAGCATGGGACTCTTTAAATAATTATGCGCACACGTACGATCGTGTGGCTCTAATTAGGCCGTATGACTCCGGGGCCCAAGAACCTCCTTTCAGTTGACTTCGTTTTCAAAGGCATGCCCCGCATCATTTAAAAGTTATTAAGCACAAATGCAAACAGACGTTCGAGTTGTCTCGAAGCCATGGTTGTGTTTATCAAACTCGTGTGACGTAGATAAATATGCAGTGGGCTGCGAGGTGGTTTCGAGTCCTGTAAGGAAACAAGCGGAAGCGAAGCAGCACAGCAATAAAAAGTGTTTAGGATTAGAATTATTATAAAATATGAATAATTTTTAGGTAGTAATGTCTAGTTGAAGCATGCAATTTTGATATTTCTACAGCGCACAGATATTTTACAGCATAAATTTAGGTATCACTACGAAGATTGGCATAATAATTTTGCGTGTACGCAAACAGAGACTCTTATAGGAAAGGCACACACACACACACACACACACGCACATATGCAGAGTGAAGTCAATAAATTCTCATTTCGCTGGATGCGTGGAATATTTCACCTGCAAACAAAGTGTGCTCTTCGCTACTCTGCCCTCCGCAGACGCAATAATAAATACAAATAAAAACATGACGCATAAAGATTACAGCCACCGCAAGCGAATGCTGTAGCGAAAGGAGCCAACTCATCCAGGAGCTTTCCATCCAGAACCAGCCAGAACCCCCATCCCGCTATCCACACACTCTCAATCCAATCTATATTAAGTATACGCACCGTTTGAACCATGCATTTTAATGATGTCTCCGTTGGCCCGGGCTCACCGCCACCTAATCTTCCGCCCAGCCCGCTCGTCCTCGCATCCACATCCACCAGCTGTGACGACGTAAATGTTCATTTATTTTAATTAGTATCGAGCCGGGTTGTCCCTGCACTGGCGTCTTCGATAGATCAAGGTAGCAGGATGTGGCGCAGCACTGAGCGTACATCCCCAAATGTTTTTTAACTGAAAAAAATGGTACAAAAATCATTTAATATATATTTGCTTAAATTAAAGCCAGTAATACTAATTTGCATTTATAAAGCGCAAGACTCTTTATTTGCCATATAAAAACGTAACTAATAAAAAAAACACGTTCCAATTTTAAATTCAGCTTAAAAATTAATTTGAACGTTCCGATATATTGGGGCTCCCTACACGATTCGATTTTTGGGAACCAAACTTTATCGGGCTTTTATCGACATCACCAATATATGAAGCATCCTTAAAAGTGCCATCACTAGTAGAAAAGCAACGCATTATTAAAAGGTAAAATTCGCAATAAGTGTTGACAGATGGACAAGGAAAACGGACCAGGTGACCATTTAAAAAAACAGACGTTAGGCGATGAGGAGGAAAAGAGCCCCCAAACGCCAGCCATTCTGGCAGCGCTGAATTTGATCAAAATAAAAGAGGTAAATAAAAAACATGTGCGAATTGACAAAGAGGTAATAATTTCATGTGCATTTCGCAGCTTCAGAACGAAACTTTAGATTCGTCTCCGCAAAAAGACATTCTGGAACCTAAAACGGTCATCCAAGACCATAGAAGTGGGGCTGTTCTGCAAATGGGTGCAAAACCACGTTTCCCACTTCAGGAAATAGCAGATACCCCGAAGATCAAATTGGAAGGCGTTACGGTTTCTTTATTGCACAGTAATGCCATTTGCTATAGGAATGTTTCCAAAATGGACAAATCGAATTCTTCCCAGCTCCAGGAGACATCAGATACAAAAATACAAAAAGTCCAACATTCCCCCGATCAGGAGGAGATCAGCAAGAAAGATGAGTCGAAGGTGCAAGACGACCCAGTAGAGGGTATACAAGAACATGGATCAATTTCTGAAAATATAAACATAATTCGAAAGTTGCAGTTTGGGCGCTACGAGATCGAAACCACGTTTTCCAGTGCGTATCCTGAAATGGACGACAAGGTGCCCAACATTTACGTTTGTGAGTTCTGCCTGAAATACATGTATTTGCGAACAAGTTACTCCTACCACCTGTCCGATTGCAAGATAAGGCGTCCGCCGGGCAGCTTGGTATACAGAAAGGACGATATTCATATCTACGAGGTCGATGGCAACAAAGAGCTGCTGTATTGCCAGTTCCTCTGCCTTATGTCCAAGCTCTTTCTGGAAAACAAGGAAACGCTTTACACCCCGAATCTGTTCTTGTTTTATATACTGTGTTTAAAGGACAAGGATGGCGAGCACCTTGTAGGTTACTTCTCCAGGGAGAAGAAGTCTACGCCGAATATCAACCTTAATTGCATCGTTGTTTTACCGCCCTACATGCGCAGGGGCTACGGAAAGCTGCTGATTGACCTCAGCTACGAGATCTCTCGCAAGGAGGGAGTCATCGGAGGTCCCAAGAAGCCGCTGTCGGAAGTTGCCAGGCTTTGTTACCTCAGTTATTGGGGCCACAACCTCCTCGAACTGTTGAGGCGCCACTCCTCGCCGGCCTTGATAGCCATCGAACAGCTGAGCGAAACGACTGGCTTCCTCAAGAAGGACATAATGCTCACTCTAAAATTCATGAAGATAGCGACGTACTACAAGGATGGCTGCACCATGTGCACTACTCCATCGATAATCGAAAATCGCCGTAGGCTCGTGAAGTTTAAGAAACCCAGGCTGATCATTTATAGAAACTGCCTCGCCTGGAAGACAACCACAGCCGAAGAGTAGAATCAAAGTTGGAGCCATCATAATTTTCAAGTACTATTCTAAAAGTCTCTTTCAGTTACCAGAGAATTGGTAAAATATGTTAACATTTCGTGGATCTTCATCTTCATTATAATCTAAACAATTTGTATGCCATCAGCTAAGAGAATGTCTTTATCTAGTTTTATTTTTTACTGTGTACCTTAGACAGTATAATAAAAAAATACATTAGCGAGATAATCAAAATTCAAGGCTCGTGGAAAGTAGGTAAATTCCAAGTATTAATGAAAAATCAAAGATATCGCATGGAACTGATTCCTCAAGCCCATTGAAGTGGCTGCCAAGTTTGATTGCGCAACTTTGATGGTAGCAACGGGATATGCACTTTAAGTGAAGTCGTCAAAGAGCCTGGCAGTCGGCTGTTAGGCAATTTCAGATACGGGCAAAGTTGACTTTTGCACTTGCACTTACTTAACCCACAGCCTCACTCACTTTGCCGTGTTGACGTTGCCGAGTAAATATTTCCATTTATGGTCCTATACACTTATTGAGCGTGGCCATCGTTCCACGTTCGCCTTTCGCCGTTCTCAGGACTCCCAGGAGCCAAAGGGGCAACGGGGCTACTTGACCTGGACCCGGGGACCTGGCAACTGGGAAAGTCCCTGGCACGTTGCTAATGTGCATAGCCATTAAGTCAGGGCTGCGTGTTTTGTTTACGCAACGGCGTGAGCTCTATAACTTGGCAGGGGTTGTGTTGGGCTGCGGCATTCAAAGGGCCCCACAATGCGCTGGCATTGCTATTCGACTGTTGCATGTTGCAAGTGCAGCTGACAGGTAACCGGAAGGGGGTACCAGAAATTACATTAAATCGGATGGGTTGGGGATTGTTGGGCTGAGTTGGCTGGGTTGTCCTAACAACAGCCAGTCAAGGCAACCAGCAACATAGCCGGGAAATGGAATCAAAACAAGCAGCATAAACAATTTAAGCAACGTTGTTATTATTCGACAGCTTTAATCAAAGCAGTCCTGTTATATTTTCGTCAGGGAAAAGGAAATAACTTTCAACGCACAACGTTAACAACTTGTGTACCTGTATATCTTAACACTGGGTGTGAATCAAAGACAACATTTGAAGGCATTCCATATTTGGTTTTTAGACGGGTAGCATCGGCCATTTGCCGGAGCTGCAGCCGCAACTGTTGTCCTGGGATACACAAAAGGATTTTCAGACGCCCGGGAGTAAATACGCCAGCACTCTGTGGCGGAAGCAAAACCAAACTGCACAGCAAGGCAACTGAAATTGATTGAAAGAACAACAAGAACGGAAAGGTGGTTGGGCATCCACCAAGCTGGCATCCAAGTGGGGGGACGCGAGATCCTGTTTGTAACGAGAAATCCTGCGAAATCAAGGCAAACGTTTGATGTTCAGCCGCGCGAAGACGCCGACGTGGCAGCCAAACAACCAAAAGAGAGCAAGCAAAGGACCCAAAACCCACTCACATCGGAAAACCCACTCCACCACGACCAACTTCAAGAACCTATTCAAATAAGTGACGACCACCATGTCACAAACGCAATTTGAATCCAGCACAGACAGTGGCGATGTGCCAGAATCCCTTCACAACGATGAACCCCGTGTCGTCTGGCTGAAGACGATTATGTCCAATATGCTGGGAGTGTTTGAGCCCAAGTATGTGAATGCTACGATCAACAAAAATATGCCCGCCGTGGATGCCTTTTTCCAGCGACGCTACGAGACCCAAAACGATCTGGAATTCGTGGTGCTGTTCATCTGGCGCACCTTCTACGACAAGCTCATCGAGGAGGAGATTACCGTGCTGGAGGAGGTGCCACGCCCACCGCCCACAGTTCCCGACAAAAAGGGCAAGGGTAAAAAGAAGGGCGATGCCCGGATGGCGGGCGGAAAGTCCGCCGGCAAAGGGGCAGCAACAGCTGGAGCAGCGGCCGGAAAGGGGCGCAAGAAAGCCGGCCAGGATGCGGCGGCGCCAGCCGCTGGTGGAGATCAGGAGCCGGTCGAAGAGGCCAACACTGGTGGTGAAACCACAGATGCCGAGGTGGAAGGCGAGTTGGAGGGCGAGGAGGAGGCAACCGTGGCTGGGAGTGGCAAGAGCTCAGCTCGATCCAGACGTAAGTTAGGACTACATAATGTTGGGATTAATAAATATACTGGTTTTTAACTAAACATTAAGGAGTAAACTTTTACAATTTTTCTCTCTGAAACCGCATAAAAACATTCATATCGTAATCATATTTTCAGCCAGCTCCGATACGGAAAACGGTAAATAAGATGGATGCATTACTCGAGTTTCCTTTGTTACTGTCCAAAGATTTTAATTTAAAAGTTTTCGGTTTTTCCTCCTTTATTTTCCCCATTTTTGGCGATGCATAAATTTGTAGCCCATCCAACTTGATATCAAACGAAAATCTTGGTCCGCACTTTGATTTGCGCCGCCCACTTCACATCATAAATATTTAAGGGTCTCATTTTCGTTTGCCCGGCTAAAATTCATTTCTTTTGTAACTTTTAATTTGAATCACCCACTATTCCACCCAACCGACTCATTTGATTTCCCATTGCCTGGTGCAAAGATAAGAGCAAAGTTTCGCCGGCTCATTCATTGCATTTAAATGGAAGCGCGCAACTTGCCACAATGCAAATTCCGCCCGCTGCACTTTGTTCCACCCCATCAATCTCAATCACAATCGTAATCGCGGCGCTGCGTTCGCCTACTCGCTTCTGACACGCCCATTTCGGCCCCTTACTAATGTACTCACTCCCCACCTCCCCCCAAAAGGAAGCAAAGGCAAGAAGAAGAAAGCCAGTTATGTACCCGTATACGTGGAAGTGAAGGTGAGCACCCTAATTGAAAGGCACACGGAGTGTTTGGGAGATTCCTAATTGAAAATGGCTCAACTCCTTGAAATTGATGTGATAAAGCATAGTACTAGTCAGTAATGTCGCCCACAATTACAGAAACTGGTCCCGGCGTACGTGAAAACCCCACAAGTGCACTGCCACTTTGGAAGGATGGAGTCCGAGGACCTGGATCCCAAGATTAAGTACATCTACATCGTGCGAAAGAACAGGAGGGAGATACGTGAGTATATGACAAAAATTAAATATTGCCATAGATTTAGATTGAAAAAACTAGTTTAGAATAATCCTACCAGTTGTGATCCCCTTTCAACTGTAAATTTTGATGTCCTTTCAGCCAACTTCAGTGACGTATCGACTTGCTTTGCCCAAATGCCGCTCTACTTTCTGATAGGCACCGTTCGAGGGTCACTCATCCACTCGCTGAGGGATGACTTGAACCTGGTAAGCCTGAGAGATCCGCACTGCTGAACTGCCACCCGTAATCGTACATTAAAAGACGCATCACCAAACCAAAATCACTCAAATTTGCACCCGATTCGCTCATTTCACACACCATAAATTCAATCAATCAAGGACTTTAAGGCCGATCCAGCATTGTTTCAAGGACTCGTGCGCCCTTCCTTCCGCTTGTCCGTTCATCCCGAAGTCCGCTCTCCGACCGCAAAACAAAATGTTGTGACGAATTGTAATTAATTCCCGAAACAAGGCAGTCATCTATCAAAATGCCCGCTGTGCCGCAAGATTTTTCCGCACCACTGCACCACTTTGGAGCTGTGAGAATATCGGGTGGCTTGGGCGACTTGTTTGGGTGGGTGGTTCATCACGCCCACTGAACCGAGCCTTAAGCGTTGACCGCCAACGCAAATTGCTTCATCATAGCTCCAAAACGGGCTGCGGTTTCCATTAGACTGTGCCAGCCAAGACTACGGCCCTGTGAATTCTGCGGTCCACAAAGTCGGCAGCGAGTGGGCTTCCATATTATTAGCTTTGCATGAAAATAAATTGGAAAATTGTTGCCTGAAAATCAGTTTTCGGCGAATGGCGAATGGCGAACGGGGCGAATCAATTAGAAAGTCTACACAGACCGCAGGCCCCGAACAGCGCTGCCTCCAATATCCGGGCACTCCATCTTTGATTCCATTGTACATGTGGGGCTCTATTTTTCTTTTTTTTCAACCCAAAACCAGGTTTACAAGAGCGCCATTCAATTTCAATTTCGCGAACCGGCCACAGCGGATAGCCAGCAAATGGACAGTTATGAGGGGCAGGCCGGCGGAGGAGCTGGCGGCGCTGGAGGAGCAGGCGAAACCGGCGAGGATATATCCAGCGAGGCCAAGGAATCGGGCCCGGGTCTATTGGAGCTATCCAAACCATCGGAATTTCGTTTGAAAGCGCTTAAACAACAAAAGTATTTAACTTTTAACAAAGGCAGGGTGTGGCATTCGCTGCTCTGCTGGCTTCTCGGCAAAAATCGGGCCTGGGTTTATTGGTTTCAAGCTGATGCTACTGGTGCTACTGGTGGTACTGCTACTGCCACTGCTGGAGTGGAGGAGTGACTGGCCAGCGATTGTGAATGCTGCCTTTCTTTCAACCAACCCATTCGACTTTTTTCTCTGATTTTTTGGTGCAAATTTTTTGTTTGCCTTTGTTTTGCGCTTATCGCTGGTTACCATCGGCCACAGTTGCCTTTGCTCCCCCTTTTTTATGCTCCTTTTGGCGATCCTGGTGCACAGAACCCTTTTCGCACATAAATTACAGCGCATCCGATAAGGAATTTTTATTTTTAATCGGATTTCATGCTACCATCAACGACGCCGTTCTCCGTTGTCGTCGGTGTCGTTGGGTTGTTGTCTTCTGGCCATTTTCCATTTGTTTGGCAGGCAGCATTTATGGCACTTCCTGGCGAGCCTCATTCATCCTTGCATTGGCCTTTCATTGCCGCCTCGCGAATGCCACTTGACCGCCACAGTTAAATTTTCCCCCTTTCATTTCGGGCATCTTTTTTGTTTAAATATTTTTTTTGCCCTTTTCTGTCATGCAGATTAAAAAATGCCAACGCAGGAGGTGCCCGAGTTGGGTTCGCGGCCATATCCTCGTCCACTTCCAGCGGAGTAGCCTTTGTTACGCTTTGTATTTGTTGCTCATTTTGCTTATCGGTTGCCTTTCATTACGCTTTGTGTTAATTTTGCATACTGGCCGGCCGTTAATTGTGTTTGTTTGTTTATTTGCCACTCCTCCCAGGAAAAAGAAGGAGATGGAGGCGGCTGCGAAAAAGGCGAAGGCCAAGAAACCCGATGCGGAGCCGACGGAGGAGGATGAAGAAGGTGAAGCCCACAAAGTTGAGGCCCATTTGTCGTCCTCCGAGGAGGAAGGTGAGTATTTTTTTCAGGGAAAGCGTCATAGCCATAAATATCTTATTTAGTTCTAATAAATACTTGGGCTAGTCGCAATAGAAAACTAATACTTCTATATTTTAAATGGTATGTAAATGAGCTACTTGCCTTGTAATTCATTGCAGTGGAGGTAAAAGTCGAGAAGCTGACGATTGCTCAACGATGGGAAAAGATGCTCAGTGAGACGAAGGCCAAAGTGGAGGCGGAACACGCTGCCGAGGAAGCTACGCCGCCACGAATCACACCCATCCAGAGGCGGCTACTCAAGGAGATCGATGAGTTCCAGAACGAAATAACCTGGACCATCAATCACATTGTCTGGGCCTTCAGTCTGCCATCGTCGTACATTTTGCCCGGTCAGGAGGCGACCGAATTCGAGGACGCCATCATCCGGGTGCCCGTCGATCCCAAAAGACTGGATCTGGTGATCACATACACACAGCAGCAGCTGGAAGAAGTGGTCGATGGTTGGATTAAGTACCTTAAGAAGACAATGAAGACACTCACGGATGCCAAACTAGACGATTTTACTCCAATGGCGGAGCACCGCTACTGGCACAAAATGGAGGTGGAGCTCTACGGAACTTTGGAGCAGTTGAAGACCGAGTTCGTGGTAGCTGTCCTACAGCGTCTGGCTGATGATAAGTCATCTGTTCTTGTCGAGTGGCAAAGTGTTCTCGAAAAGACAGAGGCTCGCTTCAAGCTGGCCAAGGAAAACTCTGACTACTTGGGAACCATCATAGATTATCTAGAGGTGAGTCCACCTCACCATAGTTCCACGTTTTTCAGCTGAAAAAAAGAAATTATTTAAGCTACATGGTATATTGGACAAGTAAACTTCTTAAGTACATACCAGATCCAAGACATTGGCAACTACAAAACGTATTTAAAAATGATACATTTGATAAATATGGCAACGCTAAAGCTGAAAGTTATTGTTTTGGAACTAGTGGTTCGCTACAGAGTTTGTTCCTTTCGGACCCGGAACCGCTTAGTGATTAAGTTTCTGAGGCCCGCTTGTTCATTTACTTATAATTACATATTCCAATTGTAGTTGTAATCTGATAACTTACCAGTGTAAATACTAACAGTTCCCCTTTTCTTTATCCACTCACCAGAAAGTACGCAGCTATGAGAGCTTCAAGATGGTGGTGCTCCAGATCCCCAACATCATGGTTGGGCTGCGTCACATCTGGACCATGTCCAGCCACTATTGCCGTGATCCCGAGATGCAGGTGCTGCTCTGCCAGATCTCGAATGTGTTCGTCCAGAAGGTGAAGAGCATCATCAACTTTGAGAACATATTCAAGTAAGTAGATTTGCGTAGTGCAGTGGAGCAACTTTCACTTTGTGAACTAGAGATGAACGCTGCGGCGCGCTCGTTCATCAATAAAGTTAGAGATGGCATATACATCGCATGGATCGTGTTATTTGCGGTATTTAACCGTAAATTCTTTGTTTTCGATGTACACGAGTGCACAGCTATTTTAAATGAAAATTAAATTTTTCTTGTTGACAGGTTCTCGGCGACTTACACCTACGAGACGGCCACCAACTGTGCCAATTTGCTGCGCTGCTGGAAGCAGGCCTACAAGCTCAGTCGCCAGCACATCGAGGATTCCGGAGCTGGATCCCGCTGGGAATTCGACCGAGTGGCGCTCTTCAACGAGGTGAACCACATCCACCGCGTAGCTGTGGACATTGCCTATGTGGGTCGCGTGTTTGTCCAGTATGAGAACCTATTTGGACACCGCTTGAAAGCCTGCATTGCGGATCCCTCGATTGTGGACAACCTGATGCGCAAGGTCTATCGCATGCTGGACGATCTGATCAAGAGCGTGGACTATGACATGTTCAGGCCGGGCAACTGGGAGAACTGGGAGTACTCGCTGGAGTTGTTCAACAAAAGGCTGGACAGCGTGGAGAATGAGGCCAAGAACGTGATCGACCAAAGCATCAACTCCCTGCTGTCCTCTGAGAAGGGTCTGGACTTGGTGGTCAATGCCATGAACATCGACACCAGAGCCACTTTACAGGAGTTTGTGGCCACCAAACATGAGAATCTACTGCGATTCTTTGTGACTGAGATAAACGCAGTTGAGCGGGTCTTCACGGTGCGTTGTCACACATGAATATAGTCCCCAAATAATGTGATTGTCTTTCCAGAAATTGAAAAAATCCCCACCCATGGCCAAGCACCAGCCGGCCAAAATTAGTGCCATCTTCTGGGCGCGATTGCTGGGCAAGAAGCTCAAGACCTCCGTGCTGGCGTTCAAGAGGGTCGAGGATGAGCCGGCTATCAAGAACAGCTTCCTGAAGCGCAGCTCCTTTAAGCAGTACTTTGAGCTGATGACTGTGATGTTCCAGTTTGAGAAGGTGCTCTTCGAGAATTTCATACAGAACGCCACGTACTTGGTGAACACCACAAACCGATCCAACGTGTTGAGTATTCGCATATGCAAGGAATCTACAAGTAGGGCTTTGAAACACTACGTTACAAAATAAGGAATTAATCTCTGTCCTTGTAGTGTCTTATATTTCGGAAGCCGTACAGACCTTGAAGGCCAAACCCCGGGCAGAATTGCAAATGACCAGTGACAGGCGTGTTACTCCCGTGAAGTCTTCAAATCTTATGCCCGTGCAATCAGAAGCGTTTAGTGCCTATAGCAACGTGGATTCAGCAGGAACGGAACTCAGCTCGGAATCGGAAAATGAGGGTTTGCTGGTGGGTGACACATCGCAAAAAAAACTGATGTGCCGCATCAACCGACTGACAGTGCTGGTGGCCATGATCATGTGGATGGTTAGTAACACGCGAAAGGCTAATATACAACTGCAGGAATGCACATCGTTTATTAAAATGGTCAAGGACAAGAAGCCCAAAGATGTTACGGCAATGGATAGGCATTGTGTAAGAACTTGCGAATGTAAGTAATGGGGATATTATTTTATGGAGGTATCATATTTCTTGCTTTTTTTTAGTGCTTCAACGAGCAGAGTCCCAATATCTGCTGCCCATTTGGCGTGAACTGGTTGGGGAGAAAACACTCATCGAATATGACATGGATTTCGTTGTCAATCTAAAGCGTGATGTCTTCGATGTCCTCTTTGAAGCTCAGCAGTTTGAGCATCTTGGCTTTACACTTCCCGCAGTTTTGCGCACTGCGATTATGAAGAAAGATTTGCTTTTCAAGGACTATGAAAAAATGACGGAGGTGATTGACAGGTACAGGGCAATCATCAACAATCTGTCTATGTCCGAAGTGATCTTTCTACGCGGCCACATCTACGACACTGAGCTCTTTATCCAAATGGGCGTAGGTCGATACACTTGGACCTCGTTTAATATAGGGAAATTCTGTGATCAAATTAATTCACAGCTACGCAAACTTACCTCTATAGTGTCGCAAATTAATTTTATTCGCCTGGATCTGCGCTCTCGTATCGATAATATTAGGAGTTTCAATTTGTTCAACCTTGATGATGAACTCAAGGTTGACGACTCATCTAGATCCTCTCAAGAATCACGATCAAATAGTCTACAAGACCGAAAGAACACGTCCCAAAGATTTAAATCGGTCACTGGGCAAACTATAACTATGGTTTCTATTGAAAAAGATGTTGCCGCGGATGAAAAGGCAGAGCAAGCCTGCGGATCCGGCATATATCCCTGCCAGGGATACTTCGAACTCTTAGAGGCATCGCGCAATCGAAAAGCAGCCCAAATGAAGAAGCTCTACGACTCCCTGGGCCCGGTATTAGTCAAGCTGGAGAGCTTGGTGCTAGGCACATTTTCTGGAAGGTCGGACCGGATGAAAACCTACTATGAGTATTGGGAAGAGGAGACTTTCAAGTGTATTGTTGAGTAAGTAGTTTTCCTCTTAAATAGTTATCTTGTCACTTATAGTATTACTCTCTTTTTTAGCATGACGTATCAGAATTTAAAGTGCTATATCAACCGTCTGCTCTCTGATAAGCCCATGTTCGAGGTGAACGCTGTTCTCCTAATGTCAGAAATCGTCCTTGAGCCTTCGGTTCAGGAGCTGCAAAACACCATTGTGACTGCCACCAAGGACTATATATCCAGGTTGAGAATCTTCACTCGTTGGATGACCGGCACCTGTATTGCCTGTCCACTGGTGGAAATGGGCAAACAGTTTAAGTACAATTACACCTACTATGAGGACGTCATCCAGATACGATCCATTGTGGATCTGGTCATAAACATACATGATTTGGCTTCTAGAGTGGCCAACGAAGCCAGGGGATTTGTATCCCAGTAAGTAGAAGCCTTATTTGTGGAAAGAAAAATTCAAATTAATGCACTTTATGCCAAAGATTCCGCAAGTACTTCAATCTGTGGGCGTTCGAGAAGAGTTTCATCTGCCAGAAGTTCTTGGAAAAACAGGTGACGCTCATTGAAATCGATGAGAAATTTACATTTTACTCGTCCATTGTGGAATCGCTGGCCAACACCCGAAAGTACCAGGACATCAAGTGTGTGCGCATAAATTTGGAGCCCTTGCTGATAAGCATAACGCAACATGCCCAGGACTGGTGCACCACATTGGGCGAGGAGCTGTTGCGCCATGTCAACGATAACATGAGGGCCATGCGTAACGAAATCAAAGTGAGTTTGGATTCTTCAAGATTCCACAAACACATCTCATACAAACATCCCTCCTAATCTGTGAAAATCTGTGGCAGACCCTCAGCCTGAATCTCAACAAGACCACACGCGAGCTGGAGGACTTCAAGCTGGTCATGACCACGATTGGTACGGTGCAGTCGTCGACGTTGTCAAACGAGCAGAAAATCCATGAAATGCAGGAGACCTTTACCATTCTCAGCGAACACAAAATTATGGTAAGAATCGCCATTAAGTTTTTGTTACCCTTCCGCTCAGTTTTTTCGTGAGCGCTTCCCATTCTAATCCAATCCTTCTGAAATGTGTACATCCCCTCCGTTTAATGAAAGTTACTTAAGTCTGCCAACCATGGCGCGCTTATTTGTGTATTCAAATGAGCAGTTTTACAAAAATCCCATCGAAATCCCAGCAGAGCTGGACTGAGGCTACTGTCACTGTTTCTATTTCTGTTTACATATGCATATTTGGCGGTCGGTCTGGCCAGGACCATTTGGAAATGGCTTTTCGCTTTTTGGCGCAGCCACCGCACAAATGGTTACGTAAATGCAGCTGCAGCAGCAGCAACAGGACTATCCGAGCCACAGTCCATGCTCCATAGTCCAGATTAGGATCCGGACCCGACCAATGCTGCGTATCCGGATCTGTGTGTGTGTGCAGGCCATTTTGGTATCCGTTCGCTTCGCTTCGGTCCGTTCATTTATTGATGGCATTCCGTTGCGGCGGCGACGTCGCTTAGCTCTGGGCAGACAAAAAGGAATTAACTTGCATTTTATATAAATTAATGAACGAATGAATGCATACGCCCGCACACAGGCACAGTGTAATATATATACAGCTGGGGCTAAGAGAGTAGCTCTGGGCATATAAGCCATGAAATGGTAATATATTTCAATCGAGCTTAAAATATGATTTACTTCCATTTTAAGTGTATAAAAGGATTTGCAAGGCTTTTCTATCGAAATATCTACTTTTATAAAATGGTGTCTATATAAATAATTAAAATTGGTGATCCCTACCATATGTAAGATACTGTGTTACCTTAGATTCTCTGTTAGCTACAATTTTGACCTCACCTGTATGTATTGGCGTTGCAATTGCCGGGAAAAGCCAAATGAAAATTTATGCGGTGGTGGCCCTGAAAGCTATGCTATAGTTTTTTTATTCCACTTCGGGTTGTGGACTGTTGGATGTGGGTTAAAAAAAAAGTAGGGTGGAAGAAGCGATGGAACACCACGCTTCGCTGGTCGTTAGTGAATTTCGGCACTTTTCATGATTATTATTTGCACTCAGCCATAATTGAAGGGCACTGCTTAATTTTTATGTGCGTTGTATTTGCAATTTAATTCGTCTCTGCCATTCCAGTTCCCCTACGAGGACATGCTGATGGCCCATCACCTGGAGAAGCGCTGGAAGAGGCTCTTCCTATCGGCCTTGTTTCGCTATGAGAAGCTGCAACCAATTAAGCAGAAATTCGCCGACATGACTTCCGTCGAAATCGATGAGTTCTGCGATGATGTAAGTTGTCGAAGGAAAAGGAAGTTCCGCAGGTCCTTCCCTTTCGAGTTGTGGCAATGGGATTAGGGCTGAGACTGAGCCTGAGGCTGAGGCTGATGGTGATGCTGAGGCTGCGCTGTCGACTTTGCATTTCCGCTATTTTGCGTTCTTTCTCTGCAGTTCTGTTTTGTTTCCTCCCATTATTATTTCCTTTCAATGGCATTTTAATTGGATTTTTCCGCGCGCTCAACCATTATTGTCAATTGTTAGCGGCGACGTCGCTGCTGTCGTCAGCGTAAAATGAATTAACTTGAAGTGTTTATCATTTGAATTAGAGCGCAAGACAGACGGATGTGGTGGCTGGGTGGTTCAGAGGGCACCCATTGCCAATCCCAATCCCACTGCTACTTTATGCTGCACTAACCTTTTTTTTCATTTGCTCGACAGTTGGCCGAGTTTATCAAGGATTACGACGAGAACGGACCTGGCTCTGTGGGCCCTGAACTGGAGCGAGGTGTGCGCCTAATGGATCCGTATGGCCAGAAAATAGCCGAACGTGAATCAAGACGCGAGGAGTTGGCCAATGCAGAGCGACTGTTCGACATGGCCATGGTTGATTACCATGAGTTTGCGCGGGTGCAAACCGAGTTTGAGGGACTGCAGCAGGTAGAGAGTATTCTTTTTAATAAATATTCTTGCTTGCTCATAACATATTTTCAAATCCCTTCCCCTGGCAGCTGTACAAACTATACAAGGCGCAGAAATACGCTCGCGAAGGATGGGGCAAGACCTTGTGGGCCGATCTGGATCCCAATGTACTGACCGAGGGCGTTGAGAGCTATCTGAAGGAGTTCCGGAAATTTACCAAGGCGGTAAGCTTTTACTCCGGGGCGCGGCAAACTTTGCCAATTAAACAAAGTTTTTCGGCCTGCTTGGATTTTCATAAAATTACAGAACGCCTTGAAACAACAAAAGCAAAATACTTTTGAACAGTGAACTCACTGTTAAAGGCGTCTTATGATGCCACTTTTACGCTCAAGCATGTCGGACTATTTGAATAACTCAAAAGAAAATCTCAGAATATTAGAAAAATCTGGAATTTCCAAAAGTGTGCGATGGGGGAAACCCATTACACCCGTTTGCTGGGTATTTCCCTTTTTCATACCTATGGCTTTCCATGAGGTTTCCTCCAAAGCTTTAGTTAAACAAGAAATGAGAATTTTCTGGCCACGCCTTGCAGCGACAAAATTTTGCACCTAAACTGATTATGACAAATTGATTTATTTACTTCACTAACAAGTTTTTGAGGAATTTCGCTGGCCGGGCTAAAAGTTTGTTGCAGCCAAAACTTTTCGCCCATCGCCCATACAAATGAAGTGGGCGTGGCACCCCCGAATGGGGTGGCACAAAAGCATTGGTGGAAAGTCTAGGTGGGGTTGGCTTTCTGGCATCATAACTCTAGCGTAAAGAAGATTAGTATGGCAAATATTTCAAAAGCACCGCGATTAATATAAACAAATTTGAATATAATCATACGACACGCACATATTTTAATGCAGTTTTATCGCGCATAATTTCGGCAACCAGTCCCCAAAGCACCAACTACTGGAAGGCTCTACATAATCAGCGTCCTAGAATGTAAATCAATTTGTTCAATATTGAAAATAATTAAAATGCCAGCGGGCTGTCCATGTCAGCTCCCTCCAACACTCAAACTTGTTGACAGTGGAGCTGCATTGCTGCTCCTGTTGTTGGTATTTCAATTTATGTCCTGAATGGTCCGGAGTGCCGTGCATTTTGCATGTGCAAACAAATGGACGGCAGCCCGGCGTGCAAACAGACTGCGCTTTTTGGCTAACAGCAACGGCAATGATGGCAACGATGGGAGTTGGTAGCTAAAACATGACCGAGACCAAAAAACCACGGGCCGCAGGATGCGCGTTCGTCATAATTCAATGGGGGCAACCACAGGCAACAACCACACTATTGTTTCAGCTGATTTTCAGCCAGCTAACTAACCATCTACACCCCGCTAACCAACCGGAACTTTTGCGTTTCCAGGTGCGCACTCTGCCCGTTGGCGTCCAGCTGGAGATTCACATGAAGCAGTTCAAGGGCACCGTGCCACTGATGGTTAGCCTCAAACACGAGGCTCTCAGGGAGCGTCACTGGCTGCAATTGATGGACAAGACGGGTCAGTACTTCGACATGTCACCGGCTCGATTCACGCTGGAGAACATGTTCGCCATGCAACTGCACAAGTACCAGGAGATTGCCGAGCAGATCCTGACGAACGCCATCAAGGAGCTGCAAATCGAACGGGGTGTCCAGGCTGTCATCGAGACCTGGGCCTCGATGTCCTTCAAGACCTTCAAGCACTACAAGGGATCGGATGATCGTGGCTGGGTGCTGGGTCCTGTGGACGAGATCATGCAGATACTCGAGGATAATGCCATGAATCTGCAGTCGATGGGAGCCAGTCAGTGAGTATCCCATTCAAAGAACCCTAGTTATTGGTGTATTTATTCGTGTATTGCCAGGTTCATTGGTCCCTTTCTGGAGACGGTGAACAAGTGGGAGCGGACTTTGGCCCTCATCTCGGAGATCATCGACGAGTGGTTGGTGGTGCAGCGCAAGTGGCTCTATCTGGAGGGCATATTCATTGGCGGCGACATTCGCACCCAGCTGCCCGAGGAGGCGCGGAAATTCGATGACATTGACAAGTCGTATCGCAGGGTGAGTAATCCGTGGTATTTGCTGGTTCTGGCTATGTAGCTATTGGGTTATTTGGAACGCACACTTAGTGTCTGCCTACAATTTATTTGGGTTGACTTAATGTGTGCCGACAGTATGGCGACTCCTTACTTAACGGTAAACATAATACGCATGCAAACGACTGCTATTGTGTATGCGTAATTGTGTAGACGCACACACACACACACCGAAATACGCCAGGATATCCCAGGAGCCGTAGCACATTACACATACGCAACGTTAGCCCGAGCAGTGTTTACAAATGCCAAGCACTTTCACCTTCCACTACCGACTGCTTTCTCCTCGTTCCCCGGTGTGCAAGTGGACGTGTGTGGGATAGATTTGTGTTTGTGTTTGGCGCTTAACTTCACTTAACCTTGCCAACCACTGGATTCCTTACTTCGTTTGCTTTACGTTTCATTTGCAACATTTGCCGCCATATTTGATGCCATTTGTGAAATGATTTATTATTTTGATTTGCTCTCGACATTCGTGTTAAGTTCCATACACTCTCGAATGGGAGGGCCTCTCACTTGACTTGACCGAATTAAGATCCTTCAGTTTGGGCTGTAGTGCCACTCAGGATTAAAATTATTTTACACAATTGAAGTATTGCTTTGAGTTAGTTTCACAGCTGGAATGCAAACTTTCATTCTTGGATGGCTTTTAAGTGTAAGTATTATATAAACTTTGGGGATTAAATTTAAACTGAATCAATGATTGTTTTAGAAACATGAATAAAATACATTCTTAGTTGGTACTGCTGAAAGATTAAATTATAATCCTAACAGAAAAACGTAGAGTATACGAAATACCATGTCTTACACACTATAACCATTCCCACTTTCGTCTAATATGTTTGATTGTATTTGGGTTGGTCGTTGCGCTCATTGCCTTTCATAATAATTTACTGCCCCGAGTGGCGATGCCGTGTCCTGGTTCCGGCTTACTTCTTCCTGCTCCCTGCTACATCTTTCGCTCCATCTTTCGTTGCAGATCATGGTCGATTGTGCCAAAAATCCGTTAGTGGTGCCATTCTGCACAGTACCCGGTCGCTTAGTGGAAATACAGGGCCTGGGCATTGGCTTGGAAAATTGTCAGAAGTCGTTAAACGAATATTTGGACTCGAAGCGTCGCATTTTTCCGCGTTTCTATTTCATATCCACCGATGAGCTGCTCTCCATCCTGGGCAGCAGTGAGCCATCTGCAGTGCAGAACCACATCATTAAGGTGGGTATCGGGTGGGTTCGGTTTGGATTCGGTTTGGGTTCAGCAACTGGCTTCAAGTTGGTGGGTGTGCTGCCTTTTGGTGGTGACAACAACAGATTTGCCAAACTGCCAGTGACATTATTTTTATGTACAACGGGGCGTGTGGGTATATATACACATACATATGCATGTATATACTATAGTCTTGCTATAAAAGTTAATGTCACTGTTTATTCGTTCTGGCCAATGTCCATGGCGGATATTACGCCAATTTCTGCAACACATGCATGGGTCTGCTTTCGTTTCGTTTTGGAACGCTTGAGCCGTGGTAAATTTTTATGAATTTATTTGGCTTATAAATAATATATATATTTTTTCTTCTCCCTGCCCCTTTCCGTTTGCATTGATTTTGCAATTTTCAGATGTACGACAATATCAAGTCGTTGCGCTTGGTCAAGGAGGGCAGCCAGACGATTGTTACCGGAATGATTTCCAGCGAGGGCGAGGTCATGGAGTTCCGGAACTCTGGTAGGTACTGCTCCATTTCGTTCGGGAAACGGATTGGGGGCAATACAGCATCCACGCACTGATTGCCAATTTTAAAATTGAACTTTTTTATGGCAATATTGTCTGCTGCCTGCCGGCTGGCCAATTTCTTTTAATTAATTTGAAGCCAGTCGCAGTTGGCATCGTACCGCATCGCAGCGCATTGACATGGGCATCGGTACGGGCATGGGCCCATCAGCCAAGCTGGGGATGATTGCTCCTCTGTTCTTACTGCCATTGTTGTTGCTTTATTGTTTGTTGTATAACACTTATTGATATTGGCAACTGGGGTTTATTTATGCGGTTATTGTCTTTTCTTTTCGCCTGCTTCTTCCTCCTCCGGGGGCGATGAATAACAGCACGGGCAGCAGGACGCGTGGAGTACTGGATGAACGATGTCCTGGACGAAATGCGCCGCTCCAACCGCTTCATAAACAAGACGGCCATCTACGACTTTGGCACAGATCTGCAAATTTCAAGGTAAGTGCTACCGTCAGCTGGGCATAAAACATATTTAATGCCCCTGTCCTTCCGCTTCCTTTTCGCATCCTTCTGGTGGGGAAGGCAAAGTGACTCCTGGCTGGGTACCAGAGTGACACTTCGGCAGCCAATTCCTTTTATGGCCGGCGATTTACATTGCGGGAAGTCAACTGCTCCGACTCTCATCCAGTTCCCACTCCGCTCGCGACTGTATAATTTTGTCATTTCGCGCGATTTATTATTTTGTTTAAGCCGTGGGGCGCATGGCCTGGCATATTTATGGCCAATTGTATTAAATTGACAGTCATTGGGCACTTTCGATTTCGACTTTGTTGTGTCCGCAGGCCCGACTGGCTAATGAACTACCAGGGAATGGTGGGGCTGGCTGCCAGTCAAGTCTGGTGGACGGCTGAGGTGGAGGAGGCCTTCGACCAGGCCCAAAATCATGGTAATATGCGGGCAATGAAGGATTTCTTGGGCAAGAACAACTACCAGATCGAGGAACTGGTCCTCAAGGTGCGCTCCAATCTCTCCCGCAACGATCGACTCAAGTTCAAGGCCCAGTGCACAGTGGATGTCCATGCGAGGGACATTATTGACAATTTTGTGCGGGACAATGTCCTGGATGCCAGCGAATTCAGCTGGGAAAGTCAGCTCCGTTTCTACTGGATGAAGTTCTACGATAATCTGCATGTGCTCCAATGCTCCGGAAGCTTTGACTTTGGTTACGAGTACATGGGTCTTAATGGACGCCTGGTTATTACACCCCTCACGGATCGTATTTACTTAACCATCACCCAAGCACTGCTCATGAATCTGGGTGGTGCTCCTGCTGGACCAGCTGGAACGGGCAAAACGGAGACGGTTAAGGATCTGGCCAAGGCCATGGGCCTGCTTTGTGTGGTCACCAATTGCGGCGAGGGCATGGACTACCGGGCAGTGGGCACTATACTTTCTGGCTTGGTTCAGTGCGGTGCCTGGGGATGCTTCGACGAATTCAATCGTATCGACATCTCGGTGCTCAGTGTGATATCAACCCAGTTGCAAACCATCAGAAACGGCTTGATAAGGAAACTGGATCGGTTTGTGGTATGTATTCAGAAGATTAGTCTTTCACTCTGTTTAATATTGTTTTTTTTTTATTAGTTTGAAGGGGTTGAGATCCATCTAGATCCCAAATGCGGCGTGTTTGTGACCATGAATCCTGGCTACGCTGGCCGCACGGAGCTGCCCGAGTCCGTTAAGGCTTTGTTCCGGCCAGTGACCTGCATCAAACCCGATCTAGAGCTGATCTGTCTGATTTCTCTGTTCTCTGATGGATTCCTTACCGCCAAGGTGTTGGCCAAGAAGATGACCGTTTTGTACTCCCTGGCGCAGGCGCAGCTGTCAAAGCAGTGCCATTACGATTGGGGATTGAGATCTCTCAACTCCGTGCTGCGAATGGCTGGCGTGATGAAGCGGCAATCGGAGGATTTACCGGAGGCAGTGGTCCTGATGCGAGTGCTGCGTGACATGAACTTTCCCAAATTCGTGTTCGAGGATGTACCATTGTTTTTGGGACTCATCAAGGATCTGTTTCCAGGCATCGATTGCCCCCGCATCGGTTATCCGGACTTCAATGCCGCCGTGCGTCATGTGCTGGTCAACGATGGCTACATATTGCTGCCCGATCAGGTGCGTCTGTCCACTGGTTTGTGCACCGTCACTGCCGTGTTGACAGTGGCAACAACCCATAGTCAGCCGGGTCACCCTCCTGGCGGCCATCACTTTGACACTTTGTAAATTGCGCCATGTCGCATAATCGCAAATGAAGGAAATGTTACAAAGCATTTTGCCCCGGCTTCTACGGTGACCCACCACCCACGTCCAATTTCAACTTTGCTTCTCCAACAACTGCTGACAATTTTCACTAATACAATTTTCCATTTCTTCTTTCTCTTCTCCATGCACGCTGTTCTCGAACTCCTGGCAAAATCCTTGCCACTTTCATCAAACAAAATGTTGCGCAAATGTCGGCCACCTCCTGCCGGAAATGGACAACTGCTGGACATGCGATGTCACCCGGGCTCGGTTCCTCCCGTCCGGGCAACACCGTTTATGACAACTAAATCCCCACAATGGCAACGCCTTCATCGTCCTTTCGAAAAACTCTGGCTGGCTGGCAGGAGGACAAAGTAGTGCAAATGTACGAGACCATGATGACCAGGCACTCAACCATGTTGGTGGGCCCTACAGGTGGCGGGAAAACTGTCGTCATAAATGCCCTGGTCAAGGCGCAGACCCACATGGGCCTGCCCACCAAGTGCCTTGTGCTTAACCCCAAGGTAAGTGGACCCATGGCTCCATCCCCCAAATTTAGACAAGCGCACAAATTGCCTCCTCCTGCGGGCACTTTTAGTTTCCTCCGCCCTTTATGAGCTTAGGTGCATGTCCTTTGGCCTCGTCCTGTCTTCAAATTGCACTTCTCTCTGTTTTTCGCATTTTGCTTTTTCAAATCCGAGTTGTTAAGTGCTTGTGAAATTGTTCAATTGCATGGACTGTAATTACTCCATGAAATATTGAAAAACATTGATACTGCAATTCCGAAGCAATCAGGCTTTGGTCCACACAAAACCAAAGCATTCTTTATTACTGTGCATACATTAAGCTTTAAGAAAGTATCATTTGAGTGTATTCGGTCATGTTTATGATCATATTTTTATTTGCAGGCCTGTTCCGTGATTGAATTATACGGCTTTTTGGATATGGAAACGAGGGATTGGATTGATGGATTGTTTTCAAATATATTTCGTGAAATGAATAAGCCCATCGAGCGGGAGGTACGTAAAAAGGGGCTTCCTTTTTGGGTGGGATTAGGGGGCTCCAATGGCAAACAACTGGGCAGGTGCGGGTGCCAACCCGCCGGGAATTAAAGTGCAGCATCAGCGATTCCCCATCCGCCAACGACCACGCTCCATGTCTCTCCGCGTTCGGGCTCAAATGCAGGTGCTTGGTGGTTGCGCCGCATCATTCATGCGGAAATCGCGTTCATACAGTAATAAGCCGGGATTGCATAAAAACTCTACATGGGGTATATGGATTTGTTAGAAATTCGTAATTTCTTAAAAAATAAATTAAATGTAACAGGTGGTACTTACATATATTTGCTAGGTATTAGTTTAATTAGATGAAATTAGTTGATATTTCGAATTCTTACCGAATGGCAATCAGTTGTTATATTCCTAGCTAACCCTCAACATGACTCTAATACTGGCTAGGGTAAACTAAAAAGTATTTCCATGAGATTCGGTCAATTTTTTATTGAGCGAATCCCTGCAGAGTTTCGTATCCAAGCCAAGCTCATTCATTCGGCTCCGCAGAGTAATCACTCGTGGGTGGTAAGCTTGACTGGGGGCGATTGGGTGACGACGAGAACTCGGGTGACAGGCGTTGAGTAACGCACTTAGGCTAATGCAACCCAATGCCAACTCACCGACAGGAGCGACGTTACGCCTGCTTCGATGGAGATGTGGATGCTCTGTGGATCGAAAACATGAACTCAGTGATGGATGATAACAAGCTGCTGACTTTGGCTAACGGCGAGCGCATCCGTCTGGAGAACTACTGTGCCCTGCTCTTCGAGGTGGGCAATCTAAACTACGCCTCTCCAGCTACCGTCTCCCGAGCCGGAATGGTGTACGTGGATCCGAAAAATCTTCGATACAGTCCGTTCTGGCAGCGGTGGGTGCTCACCCGGCCGGAGCCTCAGCGGGAACTCCTTAACGACTTCTTTGAGAAGATCATCACCCAGTCCATAGCCTTCATTCTGGAGGGCTTGGATGGCACTACTCAGGGTAATCCCCTGAAGCTCGTTATAATGCAAACGGACCTGAACATGGTGACGCAGTTCTGCAACCTCTACGACGCCCTCCTGCCCAACTACGCTATGGATAGTAAGAACTACGATGAGCCGGTGCTACAGACCTACAATACAGACAGTCTGGAGTGCTGTTTCCTGCAGGCGGTCTATGGTTCCATGGGCGCTTGTCTGGTGGAAAAGCATCAGCCTGTCTTTGATGAGTATATGAAGCGCATATCCGGCTTTCCGTTAGTGCAGGACACGCCGGAGAATCCCGCCTCCGGAGGACAGTTTCCGCAGAGCAAGCCCACACTGTACGACTACTTCTGGGACGTCAAGGACAACGTTTGGAAGGCCTGGGAGTGGGTGGTGGTGCCGTACACGCACGACCCGCAAGTGAAGTTCAGTGAGATCCTGGTGCCCACGGTGGACAACACGCGTACAAATCGTACTCTCAGTCTGATGAGTGAGGTGAGTGGTGCCTGGATGTTTGGGAATGTCATTACTCCCAGCTTCTGGGGAGATGCCTTATTAATGTTTGTCCCTATTTCGATTGCGTTGCTTGAACTCCAACTCCAATCCCGTTTACAGATCAAACGACCTGTTCTGCTTGTGGGAGAGGCTGGTACATCAAAGACGGCTACCATCATGCAATATTTGCGCAATCTCAATCCGAGTGTCAACGTAATTGAAAAATCTCTCTGACAAACGTCGCGTTCCCGGCTAACATGGCGACCCCATCCTTTTTGCATCCCTTTCAGGTCATACTCAATATTAATTTTTCATCGAGAACCTCATCGCTGGATGTGCAGCACACCCTGGAGGCGGCCGTGGAGAAACGCACCAAGGATACGTACGGGCCTCCGATGGGCAAGAGAATTGCCTGCTTTATTGATGACATGAACATGCCGCAGGTGGATGAGTGAGTTCACGTCGTTACGGCAGCAAGATAGCGAAACGAATTCCGGTTCCATCTCATCTCGCTTACCTTCCACCCTTGCAGATATGGCACTCAGCAGCCAATTGCCCTGCTGAAGCTATTCTTCGAACGCGGCGGAATGTACGACCGCGACAAGGATCTCAACTGGAAGAAGTTTAAGGATCTGACCTTCTACGCAGCCATGGGAACAGCGGGCGGCGGTCGGAACGAGGTGGATCCCCGATTTATCAGCATGTTCTCCACTTACAACATCATATTCCCCAACGATGAGTCCCTCATCCAGATCTACTCCTCAATCTTCAAGGGCCATATGCAATTTGTGAACTTCCAGCCGCAGTACATGCTTATAGCCGACATGATTGTCCATATGACATTAAAACTTTTCAAGGTAAGTATAACCCCGTTGTTAAAGCTTATTCAGATTATATTTAAGAGTGTATTATATAAATTACGCCTTTAAAGCCGCATTTAGAACTCGACTTTACCAAATTTTATGGCTTTCAAATTTCATGCCTCAAGAATACCGTTTATGGAGTGCATTTTTATGACATTTCAGATATTTCTCTGACACCCATATAGACTTATTGTTCTGCATTTATTTATCTGCCTTCGGTTGAATTTATTTCAATATCAGTGAACACCTTGACTGCATTCAGTGCAAATTCACTAGAAGAAATCAATTCCTGAATAATGCTTTAAGGCCTCTCACAAATTTTATGAAATTCGATTTACATATGCAAATAACGACAATTTTTCATAATCTGCTTTGCTGTGCCGCTCACCTCCTGCCACGCCACCACTCACCACCCCCTGGCTCGCTGTACAATGGAAATGGAAATTATTCAATGGTCTGTAATGCACTACGACGTCGGGCTTCGTCGTCCTCTCCATCGTCCTTGTTCTCAATCTCGTAGCTGCTCCATTGGTTTTTCGAGTGCAACTCAGTGCCGTAGTCGCCGTAGACGATTCACCCGTACTTGCACCACCAATCCACTGCGCTCCAGAACCACTCCACTCACAATGGTCACCCGCCTCGACGGCTGCCTAGTTGACTGTATCTGGGCCTCCGCCCCCGACTGTGGGTGTGGCTGTGTATGTAGATGTATCTGTATCTGGTCCTGCTGCTCTGCTCAGTGCTCGTTTTGCCTATCTCTGCCGGAATATCTTGGCCGGGTCGAAATTTGATTATGTTCAAGTATTGAACTGTAGAGAGATGGCTCTTTTCGCAGCTGTGGGCGTGGCACCGGGTCCGGAGCATTAGTTTATGGTCCTTTTAACAATTGTTGACACTAAAATATTATCGCATTTCATTGCGTGCAGATAAAAATGCATTTGTCGCCGCAATTGCCACAAGCAGCCAGCGTAGCCTGGTAGCACACCCTTCCATATCCGAAAAAATGATTTACTTACACCTGCCCTTCTCCCTGTCCGTCCGGCGCCCACCGGGCAAGTGGAGCTCCTAGTTCGTATGTCTTCTTTACACACTCAGGGCAAGGATATTAATGCGCCACGAAATGGAGTGAAATGAATTATTTGAATAGAATTGCCGTTTCTGAGAAGGGCGCGCTCCTGGTGCGGCGACTGCAACTCGATAATGGCTGTAAATTCAGCAACTTGGCAGTGTCCCTAAAAGGGGGCGGGAAAAGTCCTTCCTGCGACCCTTGTGAACGCATATTGCAAGTCGAGATAAAATTGATTTGTGTGTGTCCATGGGGGACTGTGGTGTGTGAGCTCCACTGGTTACATGGACCATTGTCTGGTTAGGCTCGCTTATGCTAATTGCTTCCTGATTTCCAGATCGTGATTGTGGACCTGCCACCAACGCCCTCCAAGTTCCATTACATCTTTAATCTGAAGGATCTGTCGCGTATCTTTGCGGGACTGCTGCTCATCGAACCCACTTGCTTCAAGGGCCTGAGGGACCTAATTAGGGTGTGGCGCAACGAGTACACCAGGATCATATGCGATCGCCTGATAGCCGATAATGTGAGTATTACTAAATTTGAATACCAATTATAATAATAAATTAAATAATAAATAAAGTAAATAATATATATATTTAAAATATAATATAATTTAATAATATATATTATTTTATATATATATATGTATATATATAATTTTTCTGATGTTATAAAGTTATAGGACTTTAAAAATGTCCCCAGACTGAAGTTCAAAAGTCCATAACTCAACTTATCTTAATCGGATTTTGAAATGGCATACCTCTAAATGTTTCTGGAGCAATTCTCTAAAAATCTGCCTTCAAATTAGGAAATTTATTTTTTCAAAATTTTTTTGTAATTTTTCTGATGTTATAATGTTGTAGAACTTAAAAATGTCCCCAGACTGAAGTTCAAAACTCCATAACTCAACTTATCTTCATCAGATTTTGAAGTGGCATACCTCTAAATGTTTCTGAAGCAAATCCCTATAAAACTGCATTCAAATTTGGAAATTGTTTTTTTCAAAATTTTTTTGTAATTTTTCTGATGTGATGTTGTAGAATTTCAAAAATGTGCCAAGGCAGAAGTTCAAAAGTCCATAACTCAACTTATCTTCATCAGATTTTGAAGTGGCATACCTCTAAATGTTTCTGAAGCAAATCTCTATAAAACTGCATTCAAATTTAAAAATTTATTTTTTCAAAATTTTTTTGTAATTTTTCTGATGGGAATTGTAGAAATTCCAAAATGTCCCCAATGCTGAAGTTCTAAAGTCCATAACTCAACTTATCTTATTCGGATTTTGAAGTGGCATACCTCTAAATGTTTCTGAAGCAAATCCCTATAAAACTGCATTCAAATATGAAAATTTATTTTTTCAAAATTTTTTTGTAATTTTTCTGATGTTATGATGTAGAAATTCAAAAATGTCCCCAATGCTGAAGTTCTAAAGTCCATAACTCAACTTATCTTATTCGGATTTTGAAGTGCCATACCTCTAAATGTTTCTGAAGCAAATCTCTATAAAACTGCATTCAAATTTAAAAATTTATTTTTTCAAAATTTTTTTTTAATTTTTCTGATGTTATGATGTAGAAATTAAAAAATGTCCCCAATGCTGAAGTTCTAAAGTCCATAACTCAACTTATCTTATTCGGATTTTGAAGTGGCATACCTCTAAATGTTTCTGAAGCAAATCCCTATAAAACTGCATTCAAATTTGAAAATTTATTTTTTCAAAATTTTTTTGTAATTTTTCTGATGGGAAATTGATGGGAATTGTAGAAATTCAAAAATGTCCCCAATGCTGAAGTTCTAAAGTCCATAACTCAACTTATCTTATTCGGATTTTGAAGTGGCATACCTCTAAATGTTTCTGAAGCAAATCTCTATAAAACTGCATTCAAATTTAAAAATTTATTTTTTCAAAATTTTTTTTGTAATTTTTCTGATGTTATGATGTAGAAATTCAAAAATGTCCCCAATGCTGAAGTTCTAAAGTCCATAACTCAACTTATCTTATTCGGATTTTGAAGTGCCATACCTCTAAATGTTTCTGAAGCAAATCTCTATAAAACTGCATTCAAATTTAAAAATTTATTTTTTCAAAATTTTTTTTTAATTTTTCTGATGTTATGATGTAGAAATTCAAAAATGTCCCCAATGCTGAAGTTCTAAAGTCCATAACTCAACTTATCTTATTCGGATTTTGAAGTGGCATACCTCTAAATGTTTCTGAAGCAAATCTCTATAAAACTGCATTCAAATTTAAAAATTTATTTTTTCAAAATTTTTTTGTAATTTTTCTGATGTTATGATGTAGAAATTCAAAAATGTCCCCAATGCTGAAGTTCTAAAGTCCATAACTCAACTTATCTTATTCGGATTTTGAAGTGGCATACCTCTAAATGTTTCTGAAGCAAATCTCTATAAAACTGCATTCAAATTTAAAAATTTATTTTTTCAAAATTTTTTTGTAATTTTTCTGATGTTATGATGTAGAAATTCAAAAATGTCCCCAATGCTGAAGCTCTAAAGTCCATAACTCAACTTATCTTAATCGGATTTTGAAGTGGTATACCTCTAAATTTTTCTGGAGCAATTCTCTAAAAATCTGCATTCAAATTAAAGAATTTATTTTTTCAAAATTTTGTTGTAATTTTTCTGATGTTATATGTTGTAGATCTTCAAAAATGTCCCCAGACTGAAGTTCTAAAGTCCATAACTCAACTTATCTTATTCGGATTTTGAAGTGGCATACCTCTAAATGTTTCTGAAGCAAATCTCTATAAAACTGCATTCAAATTTAAAAATTTATTTTTTCAAAATTTTTTTTTAATTTTTCTGATGTTATGATGTAGAAATTCAAAAATGTCCCCAATGCTGAAGTTCTAAAGTCCATAACTCAACTTTTCTTATTCGGATTTTGAAGTGGCATACCTCTAAATGTTTCTGAAGCAAATCTCTATAAAACTGCATTCAAATTTAAAAATTTATTTTTTCAAAATTTTTTTTTAATTTTTCTGATGTTTTGATGTAGAAATTCAAAAATGTCCCCAATGCTGAAGTTCTAATGTCCATAACTCAACTTATTTTAATCGGATTTTGAAGTGGCATACCTCTAAATGTTTCTGAAGCAAATCTCTATAAAACTGCATTCAAATTTAAAAATTTATTTTTTCAAAATTTTTTTGTAATTTTTCTGATGTTATGATGTAGAAATTCAAAAATGTCCCCAATGCTGAAGTTCTAAAGTCCATAACTCAACTTATTTTAATCGGATTTTGAAGTGGCATACCTCTAAATGTTTCTGAAGCAAATCCCTATAAAACTGCATTCAAATTTGAAAATTTATTTTTTCAAAATTTTTTTGTAATTTTTCTGATGGGAATTGTAGAAATTCAAAAATGTCCCCAATGCTGAAGTTCTAAAGTCCATAACTCAACTTATTTTAATCGGATTTTGAAGTGGCATACCTCTAAATGTTTCTGAAGCAAATCTCTATAAAACTGCATTCAAATTTAAAAATTTATTTTTTCAAAATTTTTTTGTAATTTTTCTGATGTTATGATGTAGAAATTCAAAAATGTCCCCAATGCTGAAGTTCTAAAGTCCATAACTCAACTTATCTTATTCGGATTTTGAAGTGGCATACCTCTAAATGTTTCTGAAGCAAATCCCTATAAAACTGCATTCAAATTTGAAAATTTATTTTTTCAAAATTTTTTTGTAATTTTTCTGATGGGAAATTGATGGGAATTGTAGAAATTCAAAAATGTCCCCAATGCTGAAGTTCTAAAGTCCATAACTCAACTTATCTTATTCGGATTTTGAAGTGGCATACCTCTAAATGTTTCTGAAGCAAATCTCTAATAAACTGCATTCAAATTTGGAAATTTATTTTTTCAAAATTTTGTTGTAATTTTTCTGATGTTAGATTTTGTAGAACTTCAAAAATGTCCCCAATGCTGAAGTTCTAAAATCCACAACTCAAATTATCTTAATCGGATTTTGAAGTGGCATACCTCTATGTTTCTGGAGCAATTCTCTAAAAATCTACATTCAAATTTGGAAATTTATTTTTTTTCACTCTACTATCTTGTTATTTCTGTATTCTTGTTTTCCAGGACATCGCCAATGTGCGTCGAAATCTGGCCCTGGAAGTGGCCGAACGGTTTCCTCCATCTTTCGAGGAGGAGCATGGATTTATTGATGCAGAAGCAGCGGAAGCAGAGGCACAGGCTCGCTTGCTCTATGAGCCATCCAAGGGTGATTTCGATGGGGGAGAGGAAGAGGGAGAAGAGGAGGAGGAGGGTGAGGAGGCACCTCAGGTGATACTCTCGCTCAAGGACTACGTCCTGCGCGATCCACTGCTCTTTGGAGATTTCCGCAATTTTACCAATGAATCTGAGGCTCGCTTATATGAGGATCTGTTGGACTACAACTCTGTTTACTTCCTTTTCACGGAGATCCTAGAGGAATATTGCGAACGCAAACAAAAGATGACATTGGTCCTCTTCGAGGACTGTCTGGAGCATCTGACCCGCGTCCATCGGACGTTGCGTATGAATCGCGGACATGTGCTGCTTATTGGAGTCGGTGGCAGTGGCAAGAAGTGTATTACTCGTCTGGCCGCCTTTGCCGCCGAATGCGATGTCTTCGAGATTACTATTTCCCGTGGTTACAATGAGGCCGCGTTCCGCGAAGATCTAAAGGTCCTTTACACCATAGCGGGCGTGAAGCGAAAGAAGGTCGTGTTCTTGTTTACGGGTGCCCAGGTAGCAGAAGAGGGCTTCCTGGAGTTGATCAACAATATCCTGACAGTGGGCCAAGTGCCAGCCCTGTTCCCTGATGAAGACAAGGATGGCATTGTCAATCAAGTGCGCAAGTTCGCCGAAGAGGATGGAGTTTCGGCATCCAAGTGAGTGACAGAATATTAACCATCATTCGTGGTGGCTTAATCCCATTTCCCTCAATCACAGAGACGCTGTTTGGGGCTACTTCCTGCGCACCTGTGCAGAAAACCTGCACGTGGTCCTATGTATGTCCCCGGCTGGCGATGCGCTTCGCAATCGGTGTCGAAATTTCCCGGGTCTCATTGGCAGTACCTACATCGATTGGGTGTTCCCATGGCCCCGACAGGCGTTGTACGCGGTGGCTAAGCTCTTCCTGACCGAGCACCGCCTGATTCCGGCCAGCCATCGAGAGGCCATAGTGGAGCATGTGGTTCATGTCCATACCTCAATACAGCAGTACTCCAAGGACTATCTGGCCAAACTAAGGCGTAACAATTTTGTCACCCCCAAACACTACTTGGACTATATTAACACTTATAGAGGATTATTGGGTACGTGGAACAACAATTGGAAAATTAATATCTATTTATATTTGAATGTTTGTATGCAGAGGAAAAGGCCAAATTCATTACCCAGCAACGTTCGCGACTCGGTGAGGGCATCAAAAAAATCGAGGAAGCTTCTGTGCAAATCGACGAACTGCGTATTATTGTCACGGAGCAAAAGAAGAACGTGGCTGTCGCCTCCGAAGAGTGCGAGGCCATGTTGGTCACTATCGAGTCGTCCACTCAAAAGGCAAATGTCAAGAAGGCCGAGGCATCGGAAAAGTCGGTTGAGGTGGAGATTAAGGGCAAACAGATTGCTATCGAAAAGGACGAAGCCGAGGAGATTCTGGCAGAGGCAATGCCGGCCCTGGAGGAAGCCAGATTGGCTCTATCCCAACTCGAAAAGGCTCAGATCACTGAGATCCGATCCTTTGCCACGCCACCAGCTGCCGTGCAAGTCGTTTGCGAATGCGTGGCTATTCTAAAGGGCTACAAGGAGATAAACTGGAAGAGTGCCAAAGGAATGATGAGCGACGTAAACTTCCTGAAGAGCTTGATGGAAATGGATTGCGAGGCTTTGACGCAGAAGCAAATAACCCAGTGCCGACAGCATATGAAGACCGGAAACCTAGAGGATATGGCGAAGATATCCGTTGCTGGAGCGGGATTACTTAGATTTGTCAGAGCTGTGCTCGGCTTCTTCGATGTATATAAAGAGGTCAAGCCCAAGAAGGAACGCTTGGACTTCCTTGTCGAAGAGCAAGAAGTACAGATTAAGCTTCTCAATCACCTAAATGGAGAGATCCAAAAGCTGGAGGAGAAGCTGAATGAGCTGAACGAGAATTATGCTACCTCTATGAAACAGATGCGTGCCCTTACTGAAATGATGCAGCAGGCGGAGCGTCGTCTGATTGCCTCCGACAAGTTGATCAGTGGTCTGACCTCTGAGCTAATCCGCTGGAGCAAAGAGATGGCTAGCCTGGGACAGCAGCTTATCGACAGCGTGGGTGTGTGCCTGATCAGTGCGTCATTTCTGGCCTACACGGGCGCCTTTACCTGGGAGTTCCGCAAGGCGATGGTGTTCGACGATTGGCTGGAAGACATTGTGTCGCTGGGAATTCCCATACAGCTACCATTTAAAATCGATGGTTACCTCACCACCGACGTCGAGATCTCCCAGTGGAGCAATGAGGGATTGCCGCCCGACGAGCTTTCCGTCCAAAATGGCATCCTCACCATGCGCGCCTCGCGCTTTCCACTCTGCATTGATCCTCAGTTGCAGGCGTTACAGTGGATCCGCAAAAGGGAGTTCAGGAATAACCTTAAAGTACTTTCATTCAGCGACTCTGACTTCCTCAAGCAGCTGGAGATGGCCATTATGTACGGAACGCCTGTACTATTCGAAGATGTGGACGATTATATAGACCCAGTGATTGACGATATTCTGCAAAAGAACATTCGCATTCAGGGTGGTCGCAAGTTCGTCATGCTGGGTGACAAGGAGGTGGATTGGGATCCCAGCTTCCGAGTCTACTTAACCACCAAGTTCTCCAACCCTAAATTCGATCCCGCAGTCTATGCCAAGGCACTAGTTATTAACTACACGGTAACCCAGACAGGTTTGGAAGACCAGCTACTAAGCGTGGTAGTGGGCACCGAGCGTCCAGATCTTGAGGCTCAGCGTGAGTCGTTGATCGCCCAGACCAGCGAGAATAAGCAGTTGCTGCAGCAGTTGGAGGATTCACTGCTCCGCGAGCTGTCCACCTCGACGGGCAACATGTTGGACAATGTGGAACTGATTGAAACCCTAGAAAACACAAAAACTAAGGCAGGCGTCGTCATGGAACAGCTAAAACTGGCCGCGGATACGGCGGCGGACATTGAGGTGCTCCGTAATGGATACCGTCCGGCAGCCAAGCGTGGAGCTGTACTTTTCTTTGCCCTCTCGGACATGGCCACAGTGAATAGCATGTACCAGTATGCACTGGCCGCCTATTTGGATGTGTTCGTTTACTCCCTGCGAAAGGCTGTGCCGGATGCTAGTCTCAACAAGCGGTTAAACAACATAATCAAAACGCTTACGGAAAACGTTTACTGCTACGGTTGCACGGGCATCTTTGAACGGCATAAGCTGCTTTTCTCCTTCCAAATCGCCACTAAACTCGCCCAGCGGGACGGCATTTTGCTGCAATCAGAGCTGGACTTCTTCATTAAGGGCAGCATTGCTCTAACCAAGAGCGAGCGCTCCAATCCCTGCAAATGGCTGAGTGACAAAAGCTGGGAGGATTTGCTGAAGTTGGCCTTCGATTTCCCAGATACTTTCGGCACCCTACCAGACCACTTTGGTCGTTTCCTTGCCGAATGGAAAGATGTGAGTTGGACTTTTGCTAATTTCTAGCGTTATACACACCTTTATGATCATCCCAAAACATAGTTCATTTAATTATTTTAATATTTAACATAAAATAGGGCAATCCACCTTTAAAGTACAGTTTAAACGTAACTTAACCACCCAAAATGCAGAGCTTTTGAACCTCAATGGAGGTTCAGCCGTACGATGTTAAATGTTCATGTTTTCCATATTTTTTGTATTTTCTTTTCCGATTTTCCCGCTGCTCGCTTGGGTGCATCATCTTCAACGTCAACGTCAACTCCGATGCCGTTATCAAATTGCTGCTACTGCTGTTCTGTGGACGGTGCTATAAAATGCACAACAACAACGACGATGGCCCTACAACAATAAACAACCAACATCCCAACAACCCAACAACTTGGACTCGGATGGTCGATGGGAACGAAACTGCTTCTGATTCTGATTCTGACTGGCATGTGGCATTCACTGACTTCCGTTCCGTTGCCGACGCTCATTTTGCCTGCACTTATCGCCATCGCCATCGTCATCCGAATGCCCATGAACTGGGTGCTGTGGATTCTGGTCCTGTGCTCTTGGTGCTCGGTCCTCGGTCCTGTGTCCTGGGCCCTGCCCATCGTGCAGTGGTTCGACTTGGAGAATCCTGAGGAGGTGGCATGTCCGGGCGACTACAACATCAAATGCAATGCATTCCAGGCAAGTGCTGCGTCCTGCCGCTACTGTATATCCATCCACTCGCTTTGCATGCTTTCAGTTTCGAGTGGTCCCGGCCAGGAGCTGCTCCTCCAACTCAGACCCCTACTCAGATGCTCCTTCTGAGTAGTTGCTGTTGCTCTTGCCCGTTTGCCATTGAGCGTTATTGGATTTCGTACTTTATGCCCGCTTCTAGTGGATTATTATGTACAAACCAGGCACAAACCCATCTCCATACCCACACCATTATCCATATCCATGCCCAAAAGGACACCACTTCGGGGGGGAGGGCGTTTAGTTTTACTAGACTTTTGCTACGTCCTGCAACTTTGGCGCACATTTTCCTCTCAAGTTATTAGCAGCCTGTTTTTGTCAGCCAGCATGCCTGGCAGTATTCCTATATATGGATGTCTCCTTGGGTGTCTGTGTGCATTACCATATTTTATCAATTTTCCAAACCATTAGATGAGCGGCAATTTGCGCCCGCAGTCGCACTTGAAACCAGCGCCAAGCGAAGCGAGCCCAATTTGCACTTGAGTTGTGCTCGAAACCGCAGGAACCGTTGGCAACACCCAAGAGCAACAGCAATAGCAACAATGGAGCAGCTACTGGCCAACTATGGAGGACTGATGACGAGCTGTCGTCGGCTCATTGTCATTTGTGTGTATTAAAATGTCTAAAGCCCAGGGATTTCGCCCATCTCCCCCACAGAAATTAATGTTCCTGCGCTGCTTCCGCGTGGATCGCATCTTCAGGAGTATAAATCAATACATCGTCGAAACGATGGATGAGTTCTATATCATGCCGCCGGTGGTGAGCTTCTCTGCCATATACGAGCAGACCTCCAGCACGATTCCCGTGTGCTTTGTACTGAGTGCCGGGTCGGATCCCACAAATGATTTGATCAAACTGGCGGATTCAATAGTCGGCATGTCCAACTTCTGTCACATTTCGCTGGGACAGGGTCAGGAGAAGGCCGCCTTGCGACTCCTGGATGGTGCCGTCAAACAGGGAATGTGGCTTATGCTGCAGAATGGACACCTACTGATCAAGTTCGTCCGGGAGCTGGAAAAGTATCTGGATCGCATCGAAAATCCGCATCCGGACTTTAGATTGTGGATAACCACAGATCCCACGCCCACGTTCCCTATTGGCATTCTGCAGAAGTCTCTAAAGGGTAAAGTGTATACCTCTTATACTACTATAGTACATTTCTTTCTGAGTATTCTTACAATTTATCTTTACTTTCGCAGTGGTCACTGAGCCACCCAATGGACTCAAGCTCAATCTGCGCTCCACGTACTTCAAAGTGCGTCAGGAGCGCCTCGAGAGCTGCTCTCATGTGGCTTTCCGACCACTGGTCTATGTGCTGGCCTTCTTTCACGCCGTTGTCCAAGTAAGTGGACCAGTTATAGTGAGCCGTAGATATCGCTATTTACAGACGGAACCCAGCTGGTCGAGTGTGTGGAGTTGTTTATTTATTAATCTCTTAATTTCTAGCTGCTGAAAGCTTTTCAGAGTGAAGTTGCACAATTGATGGAGCAGCAGAAGTAGTTGCAGCAAATTGATATTGATCGTCTAGTTGGAGGCACTCGCGATTAATTTGTGTAACCATTTCCCATCCGCAGGAGCGTCGCAAGTACGACAAACTGGGCTGGAACATAGCGTACGATTTCAACGACACGGACTTCGAGGTGTGCACCGAAATCCTGCGCACTTATCTAACACGATGTGGCACTGGGAAAATTCCGTGGAACAGTTTGAAATACCTAATTGGCGAGGTGATGTATGGAGGACGGGTCATCGATGACTTCGACCGGCGGATAACCAACTGCTACATGAACGAGTACATGGGCGACTTCCTGTTCGATGAATTTAAGGTATTCCACTTTTATGAGGACGAAAATGTGGACTACTGCCTGCCGGATGAGGAGACCATACTGAAAGAGGACTACATAGGTGAGCGATGGGCAGTGGGCGGACATATTCCCGAGCTATTTACATATGTAATGCATTGATAACAGCGCACATCGACAAACTGCCGCTGGTCAACAAGCCGGATGTATTTGGTTTGCATCCGAACGCGGAAATCGGTTATTACACAATGGCGGCACGCAACATTTGGAACAGTTTGATTGAGCTGCAGCCGCAGACGGGTAAGTGGATGAAGTCGGCTCCTGGTCGGATCCAATCCAATGTTTAACCGCCGTACAGCCGCGGGCGCAACTGCTCGAGAGATAGCATCCCGCACAAAAAACCCACATATTATCCTGATTATCAAACGCACTTGCCTTGTCCCATACGCCTATCCGCCGATAATTCGAAGCGGAATCGGAAAAAGTAATGATAATAATGTAATGTAGATATGGCCACCCATGGTAAATGGCCAATGGTAAATGGTTCAATTTGCATGCAACGTGTGCCAATTGTCAGCCGTTTATTACATTTTATCTTGTTGATTTTCATTCCGGCACACTCTCTGCTATGCAATGTTGTATTTTTGGCATGTTGAATTTTTAATTTAATTTAATTAATTAGTTGCGGTTTTGCAATTAACTTTATTGCATGCGCCATTATTGCCGGCGCACAACAGCAATGCACACATTAAAAATTAAAATAGAACCGCACACGTAGCCCACATGGGTCGGGTCAGATTGGAGGGCAGTGCACGGGCATATGTATTTATATCCCTATATAGGTATATATGTGCAGATGTATGTATATATCCTCACTCCCAATCCCACTGGTATTCACTCACTTTCATCGGATTGCCGCAAATCGCAGCGAATCGAGTTCAAACCTCACCGCACCAACCGCCATCCAAAGTACCAAAAAATGGCAAAAATGTCACACCAAAGTCGATAATTTTGCGTTACGGACTTAAACGTGTTAAAACCGCCATCAGTGTGCACTTTCCAACTGCCAGCCCCCCAATTTAATTCACCCACTCAGAAACATGCATATTTTTTATATGTGTGGCCTTGTAAATAATTGTATATACAATTTGGAATATTTTTTAAAATATATTCGCACACACGAAGTGACCAAGTGGACACCACCGACCGAAGTCAATCCTGGTAAAGTATTCAGCGTAAACTGAAGAGCCACCCTTCCATTTAGTGTAAATAAAAGTAATAATAAGAACAAATATTTCCACTGATTAAAAATCGAGTTTAACCATTTTATTTCAATCGAGATACGCAAGGACATACGATTGACCAAAAAAGTTAAGCTGCAGGGAATGTTTAAAACGCTACCATGAATAGGAAAATGAAATTCAGTGTTTTTGACTCTTGTATAATTCCATTGTTTTAGAGATTACTGTTGAGCATACCAGTAAATTTTTAATTCGTTAGTCAAAGCAAAGTTTCAACCCACAAAAGGGTAAACATCAATATGCTCGAAAACCTATTGAGTAGCTCCCAGTAAAATTCCAATAATTTGCATATTCATGAGCTTTAGTATTTGCTAATTGACACTTCAACAAAAAATAAAGCGAGGACGAAAAAATTCTATTTGGGTGCCCGATAAAGGGTAAAATTAATAAAATCAACTGAAATGAAGGGAGGAGAATGGACGTGGCAGAAAAAAAGAGGGCAAATGGAAAAACCACAGGCCCTGCATATATTACTGCGGCATTTTCCTTGCCTTTGTCCCGACACCTGCCAGCACCACAATCCTCCACTGACGTTCTCTCTCTTTTTTCGGTGCACGCTGCGTCCAGGCGAGGGAACTGGTGGAATCAGCCGCGACGACTTCATCGACTCGGTGGCAGCCGGCATACTGAAGAAGCTGCCTCCCGCCTTTGAGACGTGGCGCATCCGCAAACAGATCCAGATGAGCCTGTCACCCACCGGGGTGGTGCTGCTCCAGGAGCTGGACCGCTTTAATCTGCTGGTCGTGCGGATCAAGAAGACGCTGGAGCTGCTCCGCAAGGTAACTAACAGTATTAAGGATATATACATGCACTGGATAGATTATGGGGGATTTAGTCGTATATGGCTGTCAATAGAGGCCGCACATAAATCGTTCAGCCTTGTTTTGCATTTCGCATTTGTTTATGCATTTGCCAACTTGGCTGGCGACCAAGCAAACAATGTCCAAATTTGAATGTGTACGATGGGCTGTAGCTGGATCTGGAGCTGGAAGACATGGGATGGTAGATTCCACCCTCAGCTAGGACTGCATTTTGTTGCCAAAATAAATTTACAAATGCAAATGAACCCGGGCGGGCTTTTGTCTTGGCCCGGGATCTGCAGTCACGCCCACACATGTGCCTTTCCATTGTGCCTTTTAATTTAATTGCATGCTCTCCGCAGGCCATTGCCGGCGAAATCGGCATGGACAATGTGCTGGACAACATTGCCAACTCGTTGTTCAATGGCCTCCTGCCAGGCGCGTGGAGCAAGTTGGCGCCGGCGACATGCAAACAGTTGGCTAGCTGGCTGGAGCACTTGCGGGTGAGTAGATACGGAACGAGCCGAGTCCCGACCAGTCGAGTCGGATCAAATGGAGTCCTTCCATCCAGTCCACAGTCCCTTCACAGGCGCCCCGCTCATTAATCAGCTAAGCGCAAAATCAATCAAGGTGAGTTCGTTTCCACTAATCAGGCGTTCTATCTATCGTTCGCACAGCTCCGGGCCGTACAATACAAATACTGGACGCTTTCAGGGGAGCCACTGGTCATGTGGCTGTCGGGACTGCATATTCCGCAGAGTTATCTCACGGCCCTGGTGCAGGTGAGTCTGCATTGTCGCACCTTCGCTGGTGGCGCGCCGCATATACACTCGGAGAAACGTGGCCATCATACAACTTATCGTATTTCTTATTTGAGAGAGGATTCCCAATTCCTTGTCAACTTCTTACCCCCAATTCCTCCATAAAAATTTCCTGTTAAGGGGAATATCTTGGATGCTCGCCACTTCATATTCCTCTTATTTTGTACCATTTTGCTGAGTGCATTTCCACCACCTTTCAGATTGCCTGTCGCCGCAACGCCTGGCCGCTGGATCGCTCCACGCTTTTCACCTACGTAACCAAGTTTGCGGACCCCGACGATGTGGAGGAGCGCCCTGTGACGGTGAGTAGGGACAATGCTTCCATTCACTGCTGCCCACCCGATGTTCTAAATGGAAAACGATGACCCAACTCCATTCTGGTCCGGGGGCTGGCACTAATTTCGTAATTAGGAATTCTGTTTGCATTTTAATCGCTCAACTTTTTGCAGGGCTGCCTGGTGCACGGTCTGTACATAGAGGGCGGGCGCTTTGACTTGGCCACTAATCAGCTGGCGCGTTCCCATCCCAAGGTCCTGGTCGAGGAGCTGGCCATTCTCGCCGTGGAGCCCATCGAGGCGCACCGTCTCAAGCTGCAGGTCAGTGCGAATTTGTGGATCAGGGTGGCGTGGTGTGGCTTTGTCCCGGCTGGATAGCCTGGATAGCCAGGATAGTCAGGATTGCTACCGTGTGGCAGTGACAAGTACTAATGTGCGCTTGTATCTACATATGCCAGGGGGCGGTGGCGGGGGCGTGGCCACGCTGATATTTGTTTAAATGCATAGCACTAAATTATAGCCAGCTTCCGCAAAACCCGCCAGGCAACTAATGGGTAAACTGTTGTGCTAATTGTTTCCGCATTTAAACACTGCACACTTTTGGGCAGGAAAAGAAAGATGCTTAAAAATGGGAGAGACCGTGAACTTGGTCTTCAACTTGCTTCGACCAAAACTAACTTTTTCCTTGTTCCTATAGAATACCTACCTTGCCCCGGTATATACGACCTCGCTGCGCAGGAACGCCATGGGTGTGGGCCTGGTCTTTGAGGCTAATTTGGCCACTTCCGAGGATCTGAGTCACTGGATCCTGCAGGGCGTCTGTCTGACCCTCAATACAGATACCTAGGACTTTGCTTTTATAAGAAGACTGATGTTAATGACCTCATATTATTTATTCGTACTCGAAATATTTGTAGCAGTTCTTCCATGAAAATAAGATACGTTTATGAGAAACGAAGTAAAATTAATTTATTGAAAACTTATGAGGGAGCTTGTGGATTATATACTGACAGGTTAACATGTTCCCCTTGCTAACCCCGCTCTTTTGTAAAATTTAATTAAAAGTCCGTTTTCTATTTGGTATTGATTAGTATAGTATCGAATGGATTTACTAAGCCAAATAAATCTATGTTTACAGCTCTGTAGTGGCAATGGAGTTTATTATTAAGTACGTAGGTTGCTAGTGCCTGTCAATAACGTGATTTGTGCCTGAACCGCCTGATGATATGCCTCCGCTCCTCCGCCTGGCATTACCTGCGTCGCCAGCATCCGAAGCAGCCCTTGAACTTGTCCAGAATAGTCGTCTTCATGGAGGGCAGCAGGAGCTCGAGGTTCTGGGTGCCAGCACTGTCGTCCGACTCCAGATCCGAGTCAATGGTCATCTCCTGTATGCTGAAGGTGTCAGTCAGTTCGTGGTTCTGCTGGCGACGCTTGGACCGCTTCAGCTGGGCCGGAAAGAAGGAGATCTCCTCGGCCTCGTCGCTGCTCTCGGATTTGTAGTCCACCAGGGGCTTGTGTTCCGGTTCGCCAGGAATGGGTAGTCGGTTGATCGGTATCAGAGTGGACGACTGTGTCTTGGTGGCCTGCGATTAGTTAGGATACTATATATAGCATATTGACCAAGGAGGGTTTAAGTGGGCTAGCGCACCTGCTCCTCCTGAAACTGGGTGTAGTTCCGCCGGGCGCGCTCGACCTTTAGCTCCAGTTTGCGCTGCAGTATGCGGCAGGTGTTGGGTGGCTCGTGGCCTCGACCGCTGCCTCCGTTCGCTTCCTCCTCTTCATCGATTTCTATGGTCGTGGGGGCATATACCTTGCCGGCACCCCTGAATGCCACCTCAAACTCCAGATCCGACATATGCTTGGGTGCTCCGCTGGCCGTTTTCTGCATTGACGTTGCCCGTTAGCCGTGAAAAATTGCATTTTCCTCACTCAGCTGTTGTTGTTGATCCAATTGTACTTACCAGGAGTCCCGCGGCCCCATCCTCGTAAATGTTGGATTGCCTGTCCTCGCTGTCGATGCCGCTATCCTCCATAGTTAAACAAAGCTGGACTTTAATTTTCTTGAGTCGGTTTAGAAAAAGCCAGTTAAACGCGATGACAACACAAACAATTTTTATTGTCTTCCTATGCGCGACTCCAGAACTCCAATCAACCCCAGAGTTCAGAGCGCAGGCTCCACGAACAGCTGCTGGTGGAAGAACTGGGGAAAATCAATAACCCCTTTGCCACGAAAGCGTTGCCAGATGGGGTGGCATTTTCAAAACGGTGAAAATCGTGTGTGATCCATCCCCCGAATTGAATCTTTTATACATATGCACTCTTTATTAGGTAGTTTTAATTTATTTACAATTATTGGTTTTTAGGCTTAAATGCTTTACTCGTTGCACAGAAATGTCGTAGAAACTAAAAAGTAGAAAGGCAAATTCGTTTTAGCCGCTTTTCTTTCCTCGATTGAATTTAAGGTTACTCGTTATCAAGAATAAATAGGAACACAAACATAAAAAACTAATACTATTTGCTTTTGTCCTGGAAGAGAGTAAAATACTACAATAGAAGTTCGTTCGTTCTTGATCGGTTGGCTATATATATGTTTGTATATATATGGTGGCTATGGCTAAGCAACGATTGGCTTTTTGGTCTCTCTGCTTTTGGAGGATGGGATGTCCGCGAATGTCGATCCAATTATTCTTGTGTAGTGCGTTTAAACTCAATTCAATTCAATACGAAAACTAAACAAAATTACATTACTCGGCTCTATCTCTCTGTGTGGAATTACACCGCATTGGGATGGAGGGGAGGCGCAGCCACCTGGCCCGCCAACGTGCAGGATCGGCAGCAGAACTTGGTGTAGTACTGATTGGAGCAGTATCTGCCCTTGACGATCAGCTTGCAGTTGGCGAAGTACGGATTGTCAACGCACTCGGGCGACACAGGTACCACAGCTGGAAAGATACCCACATTAGTAGAACAAAGACTACGATCTTAATACCCCGAACTCACATTGAATGGACACATTGGCTTCTCCATTGGCATAGGTGTACGCATTGCTGGCCCGGCAAGTGTACCTGCCCGAGTCCGCGGGTGTGACATCACTCAGCACCAGGCGATGTGGTTGGTCTATGATTACGAAAGATTTCGATTTCAATGGATCCCAGATATTATGCTCTAAATTCCCGCTTACGTGTAATTTGAACCCGCTCGTTGTTGTAGAGAGTCACGTCGTCCTTGGTCCAGGTGACATTCGGTTCCGGATAGCCCTGCACGGAGCAGCTCATCACAATGGTGGAACCTGGGGTGTAGCTGTTCTTTGGCTCCAGCGCCAACACGGCATGCACATTAACTGGGAATAATGTAAAGGAGCGGTTAGTTTCCCGGAGCCAGAACATTCCGAGTCAACAAAAACATCCAACACCATGCCAGGCCAGCGGAAACATGCACAAGATGCAGTACTTACCTGTGGGCTCTGGCACATAGGCCGGTCGGGTGGGGCGGTAGGGATAGCTGGGTCGCTGGGTCACCGGACGGGTGGCCGGATTGAGCACGTACTGCATGTACTGCTCCTCACCGGCATTCAATGGTAGGACAGGTCCCACCGCCTTCAGAGTGACGCGCAGCGATACCGGACGCCTCTGGTTGTACACCTCGCAGGTGTAGAGGCCAAGGTCCGACAACTGGATCGAGTTGAAGACCAGTGAGTAGTCGCGGGCCATTAGGTTGTTTTTGAGGCCAAACATCTGTCCGTTGCGCCACCAGCTGACATGCGGCGCCGGGAAGCCACCGGCCGGGCAGCGGATCACCGCCGGGCGGTTCAACTGCACGATCTGGGTAACGTTCTTGTCTCCGTAAATATAGGCGGGCTGACTTACGGCCTCTACCGCCACCAAGTTTCAAGAAAGCAAGTACGGAAAAGCAGGCAACATGCGCAAAGTGTTCAATGGAAAGCAGTTAGTTACATAGCCATCACCAAAGGATATAAGATATCAGTAGTTATTAGCAATAGTCGGCAATCCCTCAATGGGATTATCCTTCATTCATTTCCTACTTAGGTCTATATAAACGGAGATCTCAACATTCATACCATACAGTAAGGACTCCAGGGAACACATTATAAAAAGGGTCTTAGAAACGCACCTGTAACCTGGAGGGCGACCTCACGGCGCACGGGTTCACCCAGACCATTGCTGGCCACGCAGACGTAGGTGCCATCGTCGGTTTGACGCACCTGGACAATGGTCAGATCACCGTTGGCGGTCAGCACATATCGTCCCTTGTTCGTGTTGATCTGTAAGGAACACAGCAATGTATTTCAGGCGGACTTGAAGGAAAAGATGCTCCCAATTGCTTACCACCAAGTTCTTGTGCGACCAGGTGATATTCGGGGCTGGATTGCCAGTGGCGAAGCAGCGCAGCACGGCTATGCCGCCGATGGAAGCCTGGACATCCAGCTCCTGTGCCTCCTTGGGTTCCAGAGCGGTTATGACATCGCCCGGATAGGAGACCACTGGAGCCTGAGTCCTGGGCGGCTGAGTGGGTCGAGCGGGATGCACACACAACTGACCGCAACCGTCGCTGCAGCACTTGTTGTCTCCACGACAGTCCGCATCGGTGTAGCATTCGCGGGCACATTCACTGGCATTGGCCGACAGAGCCGGGCACTCTCCTGGCTTGTATATATCGCGGCACACTGGCGCAAACTGGCGATCGTCGGAACTGGCCACATCGATGGCGCACTGTTGGCCCTCCGGGCAGTTGTAGCCCTCGCACGGATTCTCGCAGATGCACTGCGTGCACTCTGGCTGGGATCGGGCGGCCACACGGCGAACGCCGTATGGACAGCGGAGCTCCTGGCACTCGGCATCGAAGGTGTCGCACGGGTTCTGTCCAATTTCGTTGTCCTGCTTGTTTGGTTCCGCTGCAAGAGACGGGGATTGCGGATCAGCAAGGACAGCTTTCACAGCTTTTACATTCCATTCCCAAGAACCCGTGCAGACTTAAGTCTAGTGAAGGTGCACTAACGCAACTACTACAAATGCTACTTCAAAGTTTCTACAAGAGCAAGCGATTTGGGTGTGGGCAGATTGCAAGGTGCATTTGTGGGTGGGTGGGTGCTTTTTGAGGTGCAGTGAGCTCTGTGGAGCACAGAGCTTTGTGGTGCGTAGGTGGCTGTAGGTGGGGCTTACGTCGGCATTGGTTCGTGCATGCCTCGAAGGATCGGAAGTTGTTCTGGTTGCCGGAGCAGCCGGCGTAAATGAAGGACATACAGTTTCCTACAGCGTCGTCGTAGTACCAACGGCGCTCGTGAATCGAAGGTCCATTGCAGCGACCCGTCGCCACCGGCAGCATGCAGATTTCTACTTACGCAAGATAAGAACCAGTTAGCCCAGCGACTCCATGTTGACCCCCAAGTCGAGACCCGCCCGCTGTATATGTTACCTTTAGCCGAGCCCACTCTCGGTTCACGACCGGCCAGGCAAACTGTCTGGCACTCGAATAGATCGCTGAAACGGTTGCCAGTGCCATCGCATCCACCATAGGTGAACGGTTTGCAAGCCTGGCTCCCTATGTCGAAGTAGTACTTCGTCTGCCAGTTGGTGCACGGACCCGTGGTCACCGGTTCATTGCAAACGTCTGACACAAGAGATTATAGCATCTGAAAGAAGTTCCCAGCCCGGCGCCCCAAACTTACCCACTCCCTTGAACTCTCCGCACTGCCGTTCGCACTGGTCTTGGGTCTCGAAGCGGTTTCCATTGCCACCGCATCCCGTGTAGGTGAAGGCCGTGCAGGCCATGTTCTCGCTGTCGTAGAACCACGCGGTGGTGCGATTTTCACATTCGCCGGCCTCCGGAGGCTCTGCGCACACGGAATAGACCTGAACGGATATTACAGATATTAAAATAAAAGCAAACAAAAATCGAAAGGAGCACAATCTTACCGGCGCTTCAGACTCCACAGCAGGCTGACCTCTGCAGAAGGACAGGCATTCGCTCTGGTACCTAAAGTTGTTGCGATTACCGCGGCATCCGGTGAACTCGAACGTGTGGCATTCTCCGCTTCGCTCATCGTAGTACCAGCGCTGGGAGAGGTCACTGCATCGTCCTCGGACAGGAGGCAGGGCACAGGTGGTCTGGGCTTCGTTGCACTCGTTCTGGCACTCCTCCTCGGTGGCATAGTTGTTTTCATTGCCACCGCAGCCCGTGTAGACGAACTCGTCGCAGAGTCCCTGCTCACTGTTGTAGAACCAGCGGGTCACGTTGTCGTAGCAGTTACCCGACTCGTAGGCCAGGAAGCACTTGGACGTATCGCGCTCCGCGGGATCGACACCGATCCGGTTGTCTATGTTGGGAGAGCAGCGAGTAGAGCACTCATCCTCGGTGGCAAAGCGGTTATCATTGCCGCCACAGCCTCCGTAGTAGAACTGCTGACAGCGACCCTCGGCCTCGTTGTAGTTCCATTGGAGCACCCATTGATCGCACCGTCCCGGTTCAGCAGGCTGACTGCACTGGGCGACACTACGAATTGGATCTGGCTGCCTGGTTGGAGCTGGAGCTCGTGTGGGAATCGGGGCAGGAGGCGCCTGACTAAGGCAACGCTGCTGGCAATCGTTCTCTGTCTCGAAACGATTGCCATTGCCGCCACAGTTGCCATAGTAGAACTGACGGCAAGCGCCAGTCTTCCGATCGAAGTGCCACTTGAGGACCCATTCACTACATTCGCCTGGAGCGGGCTCCTCGTCACAGACGTCCTGTCTGCTGGGCTGTTGCCTGGGGGCGGAGGTGGTAGTTGTGGTTGTGGGTTCGGGCTTGCGGTCGCAACGTGCCAAACATGACTCCTCGGTGGGGAAGCGGTTCTCGTTGCCCCCACAGCCGCCGTAGTAGAACTGGCGACAGGCCTGATCCTTGGTGTCGTAGTACCAGTTGCTAACGTAGTTGGCACACTCGCCCACCTCGGCCGGTATCTCACAGATGTCCTTGGCTAGATGGGTGGGTGAGGGATTGGAATAGTGTCAGTAGGACAGGGGTTTGGGTAGCAGACATCAACAACACATTGAAAGCAGCCTTCGGAGCAGCCAACATTTAAAGCTTACCAACTTGGCGGGGGCAGTGGTCCTCGCAGGACTCCAGGGTCGGGAAGTTGTTCTTGTTGCCACCACAACCAGTGTAGTAGAAGGGCACACAGCGCTTCTCGTTCTCGGAGAAGTGCCACTTGGCCAGCTTTTCACTGCAATCACCGGTT